ATGATTTTTTATAACTATTGCAATGTGAAATCTAAGAATTGTTGATAAATTATTTTTTTCAATTGATATTCACTGGGTCTCAAAGTCAAAAAATTTAAATTTTGCTCTACTTTGCCAAGCTTTCGCTCCTGATGGAAAGCTTCTTCAGGACCAAAAATTCATTGATTTGTTAATTATGATTTTTTATAACTATTGCGAAAAAAAATCTAAGAATTGTTGATAAATTATTTTTTTCAATTGATATTCAACTATGTCTGTTTTCGCAATCAACAATGGCAGTTATTAGCATAGAATATGAATTTTTTACGTAATTTGTTTATTAAATTGTTTCAAACAAATTAATTTTGAAGATATATTTTTCAATACTACCAAAAAAACAAAAACAACACTACACTTTTTGTGTTAAAAAACTTGCTTTATTTTTTAAATTTTTTTAAATATATTTCTATTTTTACGTTTGACAATTCCTCATAGTTCTCAATCATTGTTATTAAAATAACTCATAAACTAATGGAGATAGGACAAAGACACTTCAAGTCTTTTTTTCGTTTTAGTAATAAACAAATAAAATTTTAAACAAATGCTCTAACCGTATTATTTATAAATTTGTTTGACCATTGTTTACTAAAGTACCCCCTAAATCTGTTTTTCATGACTTTTAAATATTTATAACTCATAAACTATTCGAGATACGACAAAGACACTTCAAGTCTTTTTTGTTATCTTTTTAATAATAAACAAATAACATTTCAAACAAATGCTCTTCTCTGCTCTGCTCTGCTGCTCACAGGAAGATGGACTGATGAAAAACCTGTTGTTTGTTGTCTACTTCAGCCTAGTTCGAGGAATGATACTCTGAAGGAATTCGATTTTCAATTATCGGAGATTATCGACTTTATGTTGCACTGACGAGTGGCCAAACAGCCTGAAACCGGTTTGCAAGTGTGTTCCAATAATTGAAAATCTATTGCGGCAGTTGTATCGCCAACAGCATATGCAGCAATCCTGCACTAACACCTGTCGGATATAATCCAATGCCCTTCGTGGTATTAGCCAGGGGAGTAGTTATTTTCTGATAGGAGTCAGTCCATTAACCTACAGTATAGGGAGTTGAGATTGGCCTGAACGAGGATTTGATTTATAGCCAGTCTTCAAGTATGCCCACTGACTATATGTGAGAAGTACTATTAGACAACTAGTTTGTTGATCAAACTAAACGGCATGAAATAATCCCTTGTAATATACTTGTTTCACATAGGTATTTGGTCTCATGGACCAGACAAGCCTAATGTCGTTCAACATGTCTTAGATTATGTTCACAGAGTAACTCAGAGCAGTGAGACAACAGGCGTATAGACGTCTAAATTTTAGAAATCAGACAATCTGAAAGGAGATCTTTGAACAGCAACGAAGGTCCCATTGTAGTTGTTTGCTACCTTAACTAATAATTGCAGGTAAATATTAGATATCCTAACAGGTTGTCACTTACATATAAATTAGGATGTTTCTTTTTTATTTAAATTGAAAGGAGAGGTTAATTTTTTGTGTCTGAAAGTTACTTCTTTGCATGATCTACACATCTTTGTATAGAATTACTCTTTTGAAATGATTGCTTCCTTCTTCCCTTTTGAAGATGTTTTTGTATCAAGATGGAGAAGTAGACAGCCAAGATCTTCCTTTTTCATCTTCCACTAAATATATATCGAAAGCAATAGCTTTCGATTGACCAAAACTTAATGCTCATTAGTCGTAGATGCCTTTTTTGATGTCAGTTCAATCAGTTTTATCTGAAGGAAATGGCAATTACTTCCTTCCTTGTCTTCAGTAACAGATTAACCTTGGAGGAAGAAAGTGACTTTCCCTAGGGCTGTTTACAGACACAGTTATATCCGTATGAGTTGGATGTATTCTTCTATTACTTCACCACTAAAACCATTAATCCTAAAATGATGGTTCAAATTTGCAATCGTTTTTGGTACAGAAACAATTGTAAACAAAGACGATACGTCAAATGAAATTGAAGTATTAAATATTTGCGGCATTTTCTTGGAGACGATAATCCAAGTATTGAGTTAGTTGAATCATTTTTACTACTAACATACATCTCCAGGAAACATGATTGCTCCCAGGTCAACAACTGTTTCTACTTCTTGGAGACGATGATCCAAGTATTGAGTTAGTTGAATAATTCATACTGCTAACACATATATCCCGGAAGCAGAATTTCTTCTAGGTCAACAACTGTTTCGGCAGATAGCTAAGAGCACAGAAATGGAAATCCTCTCTTTCTTCCTGTATTGAATTTGTACGTGAGCAGGTTCGAAAAGGAAGCCTGGAAACTTTATCAGATATCTCAAGGTTTCAGCTTTGGATCCCCCTAAACAAAATATTTGGTGCCAAGAGTTGCCAGCCCTCCCCCCTTCCCCTTCTGCAGAGTTGCCAGCCCTCCCGCATCTGCAGAGTTGCCAGCCCTCCCGCATCTGCAGAGTTGCCAGCCCCCCCTCCCCCATCTGCAGAGTTGCCAGCTCTCCCCCATCTGCAGAGTTGCCAGCTACCATAGAGCCGGCATTGAAGGTTGGCAGATATCGATAATATTTACTTCTATTTGTAAACCAAGGTTGCCTGACCATTCTTCAACCGCCAAATAATATGCTCCAATTTCAAACAATATTTTTCCAAGTCAACTTTGGTGGACTATTTTATGGATGGTGTTTTTCATTTAACAAATATCTAATTCAATCATTGTTTTGCTCATCACTATTCTCAATATAATTTAATGATGTTCATTGAGGCAAACGACAGGGTTGTTGTGACGTTCTATTCATTGTTTATTTTGAAATTCGAACAGCGTGATTATAAATAGACAGAACTCGATTCCAGATGTTAGCTATTATATGTAAGCCGATTAGAAAGAAGAAACGAATGTAATAGCTGCTGGAAATAGAGAGAGTCTCGACTCTCTTCCCGACCCTATGATGAACCGCAGTTAGAAAATATATTCGGTTAAATCACATGTTGAAATTTTCCGAGAATGTGTTCCGCTCAAATATAAGTTCCGATTCAGTTATGTGAATATAATTCTGAAGTGGAAATATTAAGGAAAAACTGTGTATTTGCTGGAGTGGATTCTAGTTATTTATTTTTATTATTTATATTCATGAACTCCCGAAAGGGGTAGGTATCATAAAAAAATCAAACTATTTTAACGTATAATGCTTGTGTGAAAGGAAATAAGTTTTAATCTTGAAAAGTAAATCCTTCAAGCGGAATTTATTACTTTATTCATGCAACTAACATTTCATTGCAATTCCTGGACCGAATGTTTGTCAAAGGAAAAACATGTATTTCATCTAAGGAAATTATTCCTTACACTTATTGCTAACTTATTGTATTTACAATTAACGAAGTGAAATTTCTTCAATTCTGTAGAAAATTGGTACCTTGATAACTATACCTAGAGAAACCAATTTATAAAAAATGAACAAGGAACTGTCTGTTCAGCGAAAAAGAATATACAGTGTGGTCTTTTTTCTTTCAATGTGAATTTGAGGGTTCTTTTGTACCAAAAGAAGTAGATGCTCGGTTATATGGAAAAAAAGTTGAACTTCCCGGAATTTGTCCACTTGTATGAATTGACAATACCATATCCGGGTCTGGAAATACGGAAGAAAAAAAAATACCATTTTCGTTTTTTGTGTTTTCCGTTATTTGCTCAAAACAAATAATAGCAGCAATAGAAAAGGCAAAAAAAATAAGTTAATCGAATTAGGTTTATCAGTTGCCAACAACCTCAATATATATTCTCAAAAAGTATCTGTCATTTGTGATTCTGGGTTATTATTACTGTTTGTTGCAAAAATGCATTTTCATATTCTCAAACTAAATTGGAAAATTGATAATTTGAAGGTTCGTAATTATGCGTTTAAGAAAAATAATTTTTTTCATTTCCTGAGCGTCTTTCGTCATAAACAAAAGGAAATTCGATTTTGACTGCATGTTATCTAGTTTCGAATTGTGTCATAGTTTATCCAAGGTCAGATAAGTGAAGTAAAAAATTGAGCACTTACGCAACATAAGTGATTAAAATGGAAATATCTCAATATCAGTGTGGCCCCAACGTGTCTCTCCTATTTCAATTGTTTTACTATACTATCTTTAGGAGTAAAATTATACGATCATCAGAGCGGGCTAATTTTTTCATTTGACGAGATGGACCTTAGTGATAATATTATATTGCTTCAGTTATCTATGGTTTTTGAGAAACTTCAGGATTAGCAAATGTATACTCATGTATCAATGTCGGAGTACCTACACCACTTGATGCCAAATCCTATTCAAGTTTAAGGATTGGATCTCAAGCCACCGAGGGGGTGGAAACGTGACAGGATTGAAAATACGCTTAATATATTTACCTCTCAAAATAAAAATAAACAGGTCCAAGCTGCGAGCTCTTTTTTCTATACGACAACTGAAAAACGGCGTTATTTCTTTTTCCAAATATTGGATTATTCATGACTACCATTTCTTATGACAATAATTAAAGTTTTTCCTGGGTTTGGAAATCTAATTATAGTGCCAAGTTACATTACAACAGAAGAAAGGAATAAAAAAATACACTAGAACATAAAACATAACACCAAAATATCAAGTTGAAAGTGAAAATTGCGATGAATGCGTGGCAGCTGTTGTCTACAGGCTTAACTCCAATCGAGTAATCCACCGCCTCTGATGACTCATACTTGAACTTTGAACACTTTTTAGAGATGACAGATTGATAAACAAACTTTGTATACATAACCTCAATGCAATGAAGCCGGCTGGCTACTGCATTCAAAAACTTTTTTTGATGTTTTTATCAAACCTTTTTTTGGTATATTCGTGATGAAGATAAAATAAAAATGGTGAAGAAATAGTCATATTTTAATTCATCCCTAATTCTTAAATAATGTTTCAACAATCCCAGCAGAAGAATATTTATTCATGAGATATATTTTTTTCAGAATAACCGACAAGGAGAATGTTTCGCGAGTGTCTCTGGCTCAATGATGGCCAAATTCGACTTGGACAGCTCAATTAGCCCTAACAGTAGTTCGCAAGGTGATGAATGCTCAGCAAACTCCAATTCTATGTCAATCTGCAAGTCGGAACCACTCTTCAGTCCTATTAAAGAAACTCCTGTACCTGTGAATTTCAGTGTAGATTCACTGGATTGCGATTTTCATGATATGATGTTGACTTGTCAGGCTAACAAGGATAATTATACCATTGCTTTCGAGGGATCTGTAACTATGTATTCGGAGGACAGTGATTTTCATGAGGCTGGTGAGTTTCTGAATAGTTTCTGAAAAATATACACGATTGAATCCAATTTAAAGATTATTTTTCAACATTTGCAAATTACAAATAAAAATGAAGGATTACATCACAGAAAATAAGTTCATTTGGCACTATAATTGAACTGTTGAGATGAATTTGTATCTATTATAATTTTTAATATCATTCCAGTACAACTACAAATATTACCCATTGAATCAATGCTGTAGTGGTTTGATGTTTATTATCACCTGCGGTAAACTAGTTGAGTGAAACAATGAAACATGCCAAATAAGGCATATCACATCAAATACTACAATAGTATATAGAAATATTGTTTCTTTTGAAACATTTCTAATAACATGAAAAAATAATTTATATTCCCCTTACCCCTGAGATTTTGAACCTTGAAAGTATGGTAACTATGTATTCAGAATATGTGAGAGAATAAAATAATTTCTTTCCTTTTTTGTCAAGGAATATTGCATATCCAACTGCTGGAGGCAAAATTATGTCAAAAACTATTTAATTTCACAGAAAAAAAGATTTACTAGAAAAATGTGTCCTTAAAAAATTAACTTTCGTGGATTTATCATTTTATCAGTTCAACACATACATCAATAATACATGACAATGTTAGAGTTATATATATATAAAAATATATGTATATTGGCTGAATATTATTAGGATAATTTGACTTCCAGATAAAGCATTTATGAACAAATCTTATATTGTCATATCTAAATAATTGCTTGTATCAGGTCTACAAAATTAGCAATCTAACTCCACAGAAGTATTCTTGTCGACGTGAAGAGTTGTTTGGAAATATTAACTAATATATACATTACCATGGGGACTATAATGTTGAAAACTAATTATTGATAATGACTATTTCTATCTAAAAAAGTAACGTTCTCAGTAAATTCATCAAGCTATCTGGAGGTTATGCTTTTTTTAGAGTTTTTATGAATGTTCCGTAGATATGTACCTATGTGTTATATTCAGTGGGAATTTTCGAAATTGGTTTTCTCTACTTATAGGTCTCATTTTTTTAACTTGCGAATCCCAGCATATCAGAGTATATTGTTTCGAAGTTACTTCAAGAAATGATCATATTCAAAAATCAGCTCAAGAATTGGTCACCTATTCAAAGATGTGTCTATCTTTGTTTCACTCAGTTTGTAACCTAGTCCTCATGCCGGTGCCCTCTTTGTGACTTTGACAGATGGGTGTGAAATGTTTTTATGCTTATAATATCTTTCATATTTAAAAAAATTAATGGGTATATAACTGTATATTACGAAAAGATAATAAAGAAATAACTTTTACATAAGAAAACCCATTTTTATATGTGTGAAATTGCAAATAGAGATTATCAAAAATATTTCAGTAAATTTCATAAACTACACCTCACGATTAAAGAAGCTACTGTGTTAGCGAAACATGTCGTGATATATTTTTCAAATAAAGTTTGTGGAGATCAAAATCGTAGGTGTAGTTTATGAAATTACTAAGGATCTTCATCAAGTAACGCCCGAATCAATCAGAAAAATATTTCAGTAAAGATTTTTCATAGAGACACCTGAAAGTTAACCTATGAACCTATTATTATTATTAATGATGTTGTCATAGAAGTTGTTAAAATTCTCGTGAACTTCGCAGACTCGAAGGGAAAGACAAAAATTATTCACACATTGCTTTAAATGAAGAGTCCTAAATAATATGTCATACTGAAAATGAATCCCATATCATTATTTTATGTGTATATTAGTATAACATCGAGATTATTATTCCTGCCACCTAACTCACAGAAGCAGTCAGTTATGTATTGTAGAGTGATATCAAAAATGATATTTTCATATATGAAGTTTTGAATGACCTGGCACCCAAATATTTTGATAATTTTATTATTCTCGAATTGCAAATAAATTTCTTAGGAAATAAGGAGTCGCACTGGTAACTAACTTAATCTTCCTGAATTTGATATGTTGATATAATAAACCACTGACTAACAATGCAATTCTCATTTGCAAATTGTTGATCACATTAGGTTTAAATTATTGATAACTTAATATTTTATCTTCCTGTGCATGTTATGTATTTCTTTGTTCTTACTCCTATCATTTAAGAATTATATGATATTTACTCAATAAACATTCATTCTTTTCTGTACTCTCTGATATTATTCTCTTCTTTTGATTGGAGGTATTCAACCTCACAAAAAATAGAAAGCAGTTCCCAAACGTTGTTCAAATATATGCCTATACCCATACCTGGAAATTGAGTAGAATAGGAGGATTTAGACATTTGGAATTTTAGATTACCTACCTTTTCTTTCCCAATCCTTGTGTCATTGAAACTTTTCTTTGTCAATCAATTGCAGTAAATAATCTAAATAAATATTCTTAATTATGTCAAAAACTATTTAATTTCACAGAAAAAAAGATTTACTAGAAAAATGTGTCCTTAAAAAATTAACTTTCGTGGATTTATCATTTTATCAGTTCAACACATACATCAATAATACATGACAATGTTAGAGTCCCTTTCTTTTTCAGGAACTATAACAGTACCCAAACGGCATTTCCACATACATTCAGTCAGTCATTGACAATATTTTCCTACAAATGTATTTAATAAAATGAGTTAAATAAATTATTTCTTCTGTTCAGATAAAAGTTCGAACTCTCACAACACGGACAGCGCTCATTGGCCTGGTGACGTAAAGTGCCAATTGAAAAATATCAAAGCTTTGGATAGTTCTATGACAAAATCAGATTCCAGCAGCCTAACTACTTGGAGCAAGCTGAAAAAACGCTGCAGTGAAGATCATCTGCGAAGACCTCCCTCTGGAAACAACAACAATTCTGGAGATGAAGCTAGTCATTTAGGTTTAACGGATGGAACAGTGAAAAGTCAAAGCATGCCTAACTTGTATAAACAGAAACTGAGAAATCTTTTAGTTGCGAGTGGGAGTATTAAAAGCCAAAGTAATAGTTCGGTAAGTTGAGTTTCCACAAACATTATTATTTTTACAAAATGTTTTAAAATTCGCCAAGAAGTGGTAGTATCATTTCGGTGACATATTTCATAACATAACAAACCCTGATATTTAACATTTGACCTTTTGACACTTGAAGTTACCAAATTTTGCCTGATATGACTGGTGAAGAGTCCCTCCCCTTTATCGACTTGAACAAGCTTTGACGGTGGTTCCATTTTAATTTTCTTTTCATTTGATATTTGTTCATCTCGTACACTTATATTTTTCAGACCGATACATGCACAGTGAAGAGACGCCCAGTTAAAGTATTTGACATCCAGCATCAAATCAATTGCAGCGAAAGTGCCAGTATATCAGATATGGCAACATCAGTTGATGTAAGCTCAAGCGAAAATGCAAACAACAAACCGCCCAACTTCAGTTTGGTGAAGCTCTTCATGAAACAAAAGAGTATGAGCGTTGAAGGTAATAGAATAATCTTATGTTTGATTGAACTTTATCATATTTAATAGGGAAATTTAAAACTATTCGGTAGTACAAGGTTGATACCAAAATTAATAACAACGAAAAAACAAAAACTTTGAGAAAAATGTATTTATTTTTCAACATGATCTCCTTGCAGCTATATATGTTTTTCCCAGCGACATTCAATAAGTTCGATACCGTTTTTATAATAAGAACTGTCAAGAAATTGATGGATGAGGCCCATACTACGTTGTACGAGATCATCATGAAAAAAGATAAATAAAACTTTTTTTTACCACTTTCATCACAAGTATTAAAAAAAAACACATAAAAAGTTTCATTTTTCATAATAAGAACTGTCCTGCTCCTAGAAATAGCTGTTAACTGCCAACATCATTTCTTCATCTTTGGAAAATCTTTGACCGCTGAGCCATTTTTTCAAGTTTGAGAACAGAAAATAATCCTAGAGGGCGAAATCTGGCAAATAGGGTGCATGAAGTGGCAACTCAAACTTAAATTTGTTAATTTTGGTCATTGAGATAATGGATTTGTGAGCTGGTGCATTGTCTTGATGAATTAACACTTTTATCTCAGCCAACTGCTGCCGTTATTTAAAATCTGTTTTTCCGTTAATCAGCTGTCATCCCCATACGAACGACAACTCTCAAAAGTTGAGAAACTTGTGGGAGCTAAGGAATAACGAGGTCTTACCTTTTAACGTGTGATTCCTAACACGGTTGCAGAATCATCCCCGCTTCAACCAGATAAATTCTCTCGAGAAAAATATCTGGCCGAGGCAGGATTTCTTCACTCAAACGTTGCAATAAGTTTGCATAATACTCGCCGTTGAGTTTTACATTTTTTAAGATAATCAGTGAGAATTATCCCACGCGTATCCCAAAATCCTGATGCCATGACCTTGCCTGCAGATGAAACAGTCTGCCTTTTTCTTGATTGTTTTTTATCTCGGGTGTAAAGTGATGGACCCATGTTTATGAAAATACACAAGAATGTTGCTTTGTTGCTGTGAAACTTTGCTAAACACTCAATTACGCCATCTTACGCACAGCTTTCTTATGTGCAAATTTTCAGATAATATATGATGGTACCGCACTTTTTGAAATGACTACCTATTAACAAATTCACAGAAAACATTCGCTATTGATGGCTTCTGGGACCACCCTCATACAGGGTGTTTCAAATTCGATCCTCACCATTGGGATCTCGGAAACTATGAGATATACGAAGATGGTTAAATTGGAGCAAAGTTGCGCATTTACCTGACTAACAATATGCCGTTATGAAAATTCTGAAATTCCGAGTATATTAGAAGATATCCGAAAAAAACATAAATTTCGGAAAATGGCTTTATTTTTCAAAGGATTCGTAAATAAATTGCAGTTCTACATTGCCACTTTTCCCTTACATAATGGTGTTTTCAGATTTGCTATCTGACACTTTGTCTTCCGGCCACCATCATCAACTATAGTTTTTCTTATGGACCATTGGATTCTTTCTGTTTTGAATAGAATCAGATTTTACCTTTTCAATGATGTATCATAAGTTATCATTCTTTTTTGAAAAATTGGAGATATTGAAAATATATTCTTATCATAACAGGCTTTGACTTTGATGTTTCTGAATTTGACTTTCAATTTGTTACACTCAATAACATTTTGTTATTGTACAAGTCATTGAATTTTTGAAGATAAATGGCTTTCACGAATGAACAAAAAGAGATATTATACAAATTTATTACAAATACGATAAAAACAGTGTTGAGACATCGGAAATGTATTTAAACTTATATCCCGAAAGACGACAAACACATCGAACTATGTTCAAGTTATTGGATCAAAATCTCACCGAGTTTGGTTCGTTTGAAAAGCCAATGAAAAACTTTGAACAAACAACAATAATTTACTAAAATGTAAAGACAAAACTAAATCATAGCAAATGATCAAAATGCTGGCTTTGTTCATGATAACACAAATGTGTGCTTCTTGGAATATTATTCACAGCACGATTAAGTTGCCTCCTCCTCAATATTCCGAACTCTCTAACAATGCTGTGTTGAAGGTCCTCACTATTTTGAGATTCCCTCTGACCATAAACTCTATTTTTTTCAGTGTACCCTATAAGAATGTATCCATAACACTTAAGTCTGGAGACCTTGCTGGGCAATTCACCGGCCCATTATTTCAGTCAGGTAATTAGATACTCGTCTGGTAGTGTGCGCTGGAGTACCATCATGTTGAAACGAAATGTTCTTATAGTTAGCCAGAGGTAGATCATCCAAATAGTTTTCGAAAATCGACATTAAAAACTGGTGATATGTTTCTCCATTCAGAATTCCGTCAAATAAATGAGGACCCAAAATTCTATCTTTGTAAATTCCTGCCCACACGTTAATACTAAATCACACTTACTAATTTTTCGGAACTGCCTGGAGTTCCAAATGTGTTCTTTATTTCAATTGAATATCCCACAATTCGCAAAAGTGCCTTCGTTTGTCCAAATTACATTTTCCAGGGAAACAGGAAAATCAGGTCTTCTTATTAGCCAATTATAAAATTCTAATCGCCTTTCGAGATCACCAGGATGCAATTTTTGAGATATGTGTATTTTGTTATTAGAATTGGCCGCGGTGGTAGTGCGCCCGACTCACGATCGGAAGATCGTGGGTTCGATTCCCGCCTCGACCAGATATTTTTCTCGAGAGAATTTATCTGGTTGAAGCGGGGATGATTCTGCAACCGTGTTAGGAATCACACGTTAAAAGGTAAGACCTCGTTAGTCCTTAGCTCGCACAAATTTCTCAACTTCTGAGAGTTGTCGTTCGTATGGGGGCGACAGCTGATTAACGGAAAAACAGATTTTAAACAGATTTTTTTTTGTTCAATTCTTAACCGCTTTTTTGTGATGTCTCCAAGCACTTGTATGACAAATATTCATTTTGGAGAAAATTTGACGTGTAGATTTCCTCGGGTTCATGTTTATCTGCAAATTATTAATTTTTATTGAAAAGGACCCAATGTCTAACTTACCTCATACATACCTCGTTTATCAAATTTTCATCAGTTTCCTGGTCCATTATGTCTCCGTATTTTTTTCTTGGCTTTTCAAATGAACCAAACTCGGTGAAATTTTGATCCAATAACAAAATAAAGCCAGAAAAAAATGAAAACCATTTTCCGAAATTTCTGTTTTTTCCGGATAGCTCCAGATATACTCGGAATTTAAGAAATTTCTCAACTATATATTGTTAGTCAGGTAAATGCGCAACTTTGCCCCAATTCAACTATCTTCGTATCTCTCATAATTTTCGAGATCCCAATGGTGAGGAACGAATTTGAAACACCTTGTTTGATAAAATTCCAGAATACATCTGGATTTTTTACAAATTCAGCCAATGATCAAAATAATTGCCTCTTATCAATTTCAAGTAGTTAAAACATAATTTTTTAAATATTTATGTTTCACCAACTGTTTACTTCCATCTCGACAATTTGGTTGGGGAAACGCGCGTCCAGAAAAGTATTGCAGTTTTGCAATACTTTGTTTTACATTTATTCTACGCCAATAGTTCTACTTTAACCTTTTTATATATTTTCACGTTCCTTTGACAGGTATGTCGACAACAATGGATCAGTTATCCTCAACAGAGAATTGGCAAGGGAGTCAGTCAGGCGAGAGTAATTCATCGGAACCAAAGGAGAAAATCCTCAATACCAGCACAGAAGTGAAAACCAACGACAGCAGCGCAAGAACTTACGATTTAATAGCTGAAGAACCGGAAGAAGAGGTCTCCGGTAGTGAGTCTGTGGAACAACTATCGGAAAGTATATCCAAACTTGATTCTGTCAGCGAGAGCTTTGAAAAAGATAACCTGTCACCAGGGGATTACTTGGGTAAAGCGGCAGAAAAAAATAAGCGCAACGATCTAATGAACAGAAGCATTCAAACATCCCATTTTTCGGAAATATCTAACCTCAAGAACGCCCACAAGACTTGTGTTGAAGCAATCAAACATCCAGTGAAGGTCATCGAACCGTCATTTCTGAGCAAGCTTAAGATGGAGGGAGAGATTGAAAAACCGGTGTACATCCTTTACCCAAACTATGTGTTGCCTGACCTGGACTTCCTGAACGAAAAGCAGGATGTCTCCAATATGCTTCTATTACCGCAAAAAGCTCCCAGCGCAAAAGCTATACCCTCAAAAAGGCGGCCGTTCAGCTGCAACGATCTGGAGTCTCTCAAAAAACGCGGATTTAGCCACGTAGAGGACTGGGACTCGCTCAATGTTTTGCTGCCACAGGAGTACCGCAAGATCCTCGCTGACGTGCCAGAAGTATCAGAACATATCAAGACTGTGAGCAGGGAAAAACCCTCCTTCTTGCAAAACAAGTTCGCTAAACGTCGTCCTCTGAGCTGTGAAATAAACCAGTCGTCGAGTTCCAGCACAGCTACGCAGCCTAGTTCAGGTTTTAGAGGATCTTCCAGTATTCTGTCAGATTCTCAGAACAGTCCTCTTCCTACTACGAATTTGAATCCACTCTTCGTGTATCGGTATGATAGTGTTACCAGTTCAGAGGCTAGTTTACTCAACAGCGAAAGGCAGCGAAGTATTACCACTATGGCTCCAGCATTGCCTTTGAGGTGTGGAAGCCTGCCACATGGTGAGTATAATTTTTTGTTGATTTTTTTTCCACTCGAAACTGGTGTCAGGTATCAACCCATGGAGTCCTCCTGAATTGCTCCTCATCCTCACGGATGAAGAATATCCTAGCAGAACCTTCAAGATATTGGATACCCTCATGTTGTAGAAAGTAGTGATGTGCCGAGTCGCTGTTTTGATGGATCGGGTCGACTCGAGTTAGTTTATATGGTATTCGAATCACGACTCGATTCCTTGATTCGAGACCAGTTCTCGAATTCTATGTTTGGTATTCGAATATTGACTCGAGTCCGGCTGGACTCAAGTCTAGAAATTCGAGTCCAGAATTCTAGTCTGAAAATTCTAGTCCAGAACTAGAGTCCGATCTTAGAACAAAAGGGAAAAATGGAAAGGAGTTAACTTCAAACAGCTTGAAGGTTAGGTTAAGCATAATGACACAACAATGATAAATCAATAATTTTTAATGAGAGATAATTATAAACATTAAATAAAAACATAGAGCATAGGAGTTCTATGGAGATATGCAAAAAAAAGAACATAATCAAATTTACTCACGACTTAGACTAGATATTATTATTTATTTATTAGTAATTTGAAACAGCTTTAAGGAATCCTATACATCTAAACACTAGACAGATATAGTAAGCATTAAAATCAAACCATTTTAATTTCACAAAAATAGGAACACAAACTCAACAGCTCATAACTAAATAAATATATAAAAAAACAAAATAGAGATAAGAAAATAAAAGGTATTTGAAATAACTGTTCAAAAAAAGTATTTGGTCAACCTTCTTGCGGCGTTGGTTGCATAAAAGACCAGCCTTAGAGAAAACTCATTCCGAAGGCACAGAAGTGGCTGGAATAAATAAATACTTCAAAGCTGTTTTATAAAGGCCGCTGTCGGTGATTTTGCGAAGTTCTCAAAATTTCAGTGGACTCGCTTTTCTATCCAAATACGGTAGCTCTACGTACTATTTCACCTTGATAATTGCTGATATTTGGGGTTTTCCATGCTTGAAAATTCCAATACCATTTTATCTAGATGCTCCCATAAATTCTCGCCAGTCACCTCTGAAGTTATCTGCTGGGAATCTAAAGATGAAGTTGTAGATGTTTCGAGACGTGAAGTAAATGACACTAGAGATCTATTTGGCACCTGGAATTGAGCTTGAGATTCCTGTGTTTCCAACATCATCAACTCGTCAACAACAAATGGTTGAGCATTATCTGCATTTGTCTCGATGCCAAAACCAGCTTTCTTAAATCTTGGATCCATGAATTTTGCTTTAGCAACAGTTTTGTTAATCTCATGACCGCCAAATCTTTTATCGAAAACGTCCAGTAATTTTATTTTTATCCTTCTAGTGACTTGGGAATTAGAACTGCAACTTCTTAATGCCGTTTGTACGCTTCGAAGAATTTATTCTTTTGTACATACTTATATTTAATTTGCGCAACATGTCACTGGATGGCTGAAAATCGATACATGGTCCTAGAGCGATCTAATATCGTTTGTATTCTAATGACGTAACATAACCTCGAAGTAAGAGTTAATTTGCGTGGGGAACCCTGGTATCATCGATAAGCTGTGGAGTTTTAAAAATATTGGATGCGTTCTTGAAAATACGAAAGAAAAGTTTAAAGCTAAAAATAGTTGGATGAGTGCATTATGAATAAAAAAACAACTGTAGATTGCTATTAATTTTTTATATCGACAAATAAAGTTAATCGGATATTTTTTTCTCATTTTATTCTAATATTTGAAAAGATCGTATATTTTGTGTACGATTAGGAATATACGATCGTACGGTGGGCAGCCCATCGCTATAAAGTTCGAAATCGATTACAGAAATTTGACAGATTTGTATAGCTTGACATGCTGACGACTGTACATCGTACCAAAGACATAAAGGTCGTATAAATACGATTTGAATAGTACGGTTAGCAACGCTTGTACGAGCGTGTTAACCCTTTGCCGTCAGGTGGTCCCGTCAAAGTACCACAAATAAAAGATTTTTTCCTGATTGCCTACTAAGCGCTAGCTGGGACCACAGATGTTTATACGTTGTTAGATACTTCTGTCGTCGCTGATTTGATTTTAGTTAGTTTGAAGCGCCGTAAGTGTGAGGTACATTTGAATAGCTGACAAGGTCGCGCGTTACCTATGTAAACAAATATTTTGAAAACATTATTTTGTCTGCTTCTGATGTTTGTCAATTATATTGAGGTGCGTGTTATGTTTGTTTAGTATCATAAATTATAAGGTAAGGTCCCATTTGAGTGAAAAATTTAGTGGTTATATGATACAGGTTAGAAAACTACGTGGTCCCAAAAGGAACCACTAGGATTTTGTACATTATTTATTTATTCCATTTATTTTTTTCAGATTGAATCATGAACCTGAATAAAATAACTTCAGATGAGGTCTATGCTTTTTTGGACGAACTTCCTTCAGATATTGACTCATTTAGTTCAGAAGCTCCATCCGTAGATGATTTGGAGGAAATCGATATTGACGACCTGGAGGACCAAGACACCAATGATCTTATTGAAAATATTGAGCCCACAGAAAATATTATCGATAATGAACCTATCCAGCATACAGTTATTGCAAGCAGTAAAATAAATTATGAATTTGATAGCGAAGATGAACTTCCTCTAATAAACTTTGCTACAAGACCTTTCGAATGGACTGAAGATGGAAATTGTGCTAATAAACCACATTCGTTAAGGCAAGATGTGGGCCCAAGTGTTTCTGTTGATGCTGAGAGTCCTACCGATGTTTTCCTTCAATTGTTCACCCCGGACCTCATTGATATTCTGATATTTCAAACAAATTTGTATGGAACTCAGCGGTACGGCGAACGGTTTCTTCCAACAGACGCAGAAGAAATGAGATGTTTCCTGGGTATAAATCTTATGATGGGTCTTACGAAGAAATCGAGTTATAGAGATTATTGGTCCTCTTCAATACAGATGAAGGATCCATATATTTCTTCGAGCATGTCTCGTGATCGATTTGACTGGCTCTTGAGCAATATACACTTGAACGACAACACAGTTCAACCGAAAAAGGGTGAGGCTGGCTTTGATAAATTATATAAACTCAGACCGTTAATTGATATTCTTCCAAAAACTTATTTGGAGAGTTATAAACCCAACGAACACCAAAGTATAGATGAGTCAATGGTGAAATTCAAAGGCCGAATTGGGTTCCGGCAGTATATGCCTATGAAACCGGTCAAAAGAGGATATAAAATCTGGATACGGGCAGATCAGTCGGGATTCGTATCGCAATTTCAAGTCTATACAGGGAAATATGATGGAGTTCAAGAGAGCTTAGGCTCAAGAGTGGTGAAAGATTTGACCCGTCCGCTTGTGGGCAAGTACCATAAGGTATATTTTGACAACTTCTTCACAACTATCCCTTTGTTACGTGATTTGTTGAAGGAAAATATTTATGCTTGTGGCACAATCAGGAAAAATCGAAAAGAAGAACCCAAAGACATAACAAATAATAAAGATAAAATGCTTAGAGGTACTAGTCTCTGGAAGATAAGTAAGGAAGGAATATTTTATCTAAAGTGGATGGATAATAAACCTGTATTATTTTCAAGTAATTTTCATGGTCCTGATGATGTCCAAACTGTTTCTAGAAAACAAAAAGATGGTTCGTCTCAAAATATTGCATGTCTTCAGCTCGTGCACGATTATAATGCTCATATGGGGCACGTGGATCAATCTGATATGTTCTTATCTTTATATAAAGTGAATAGGAAATCAAGAAAATGGTGGCACCGATTGTTTTGGCACTTTTTAGACTTGAGCATCGTCAATAGCTTCATTATATTCAGAGACCGGTCACCCACAAAAAGTCTAAATTTGAAAGATTTCAGGCTAGCTGTAGCCGCAGGACTCATCGGTGCTGATCCAGCAATACCTAAAAAAGGCAGAAAAAGTTTGGAGGATGTTCCAAACCACTATAAGAGATCAGTTCCACCTGAAATAAAGTATGACAAATGTGCACATATGCCTATTCATGGTACAAAAGTCAGATGCGCACATTGTAGTTCACGTTCGGAGCCCCACCGAACAAGATGGCACTGCTCCAGTTGTAATGTCGGACTTTGTTTGACCGAAAAGTCTAACTGTTTTCTCAAATTCCACCAAAAATTTTGATTTTTTTCAATTAGATTTTTCTCAAGTTTTGTGTTTGATTTTCCTTGTGGTCCTGATATGGAACCACATTTTTTTGTTAAATTTTGCAAAAACGAAACAATAAATTTTTTTTTAACATTCTTTGTTTGTTTTCCATAACACAAACAACAATTCGATTGATACAATAAAGTGTATTTTAGAAAAAAAATAATGTCGGCTTGAAAGGGTTAACCAAATTCTAATACGAGACTCGATTCAGTTGGACTTGCATAAATAGAATCGAGTTAGCGAGTACGAATCGATTTTTCCTGACTCTAGTACCGGAATCGAGTCCCGCGTACTCGAATAAAAATAAATTGGTATTTCAGTAGGTGAGTTCTAAAGCAGGATTCGAGTCTGATTCGTGTCAAACCGTACTCGGCACATCGCTAGTAGAAAGCCTTGTAATGATAATGTGAGGCTCTGCATACTTAATTACTTTTGGGACAACTTTATGAATCGAGAAGTAACTAAAGTATCCGACCCTGAGTCAGGAAAGTAGATATAGATATATAATCAAGAGCAAAGGTTCCTTAGTTCTTCAATGCTTAATCCTGTTATCAAACCAATGTATTGTCAGAACTCCTGATGCACTACGCCACGGTAGTCTAACGAAACAGTGAGCAAAACCTCGAAATTTTATCAAACTTTGCGTGCTTTTTTTGGTCTCAGCTCTCCTGGGCTCTTCTATTGGGACAAATGGTCTTTGGTTTGATGTCATAACCATAAACCCATCATTCGTCACCAGTTATGACCCTATTAGGCAAATCTGGATCGTCGTTGACGTCATTCAACAATTCCTGAGCGAAGCTCATGCGACGGTTTTTTTGGTCAAAATTCAGCAATTTTTGAAAGATCTATGCTGCCACATGCTTCATTCCCAAAATTTACGAAAAAATTGCATGGCATGAGCCAATTGATATGCTGACATCGTCAGCAACTTCTCTAATAGTAATTCGACGATTCTTCATAACAATTTTCTTCGGTTTCTCAACATTTTCATCGATTGTTGATGTACTGGGGCATCCAGGACGAGCTTCGTAATTCACATGTTCTCGCCTTCTGTAAAAACTTGTACTGCTTGTAAGCATTTTTCTGACTCAGAGTATAATCACCATATGCCACTGTTAACATTTCAAGAGTTTTTGAGCACCTAATTTCATTTTTTACTAATGGAAATTGCTAATCGAAATGTACATAGCCCGCGAAATTTGAACGCTCAGCTTATTTTTTTAACATACGTCATACCTACCTGTCATCCTTTAATTGTTCAGTCAAATTTTATGTATTTTTTATGTTATCAAAATCAGTGACGTGTTATGATTTCCACTAAAAATATCAACCAGGTAATATTTCTGCCACTGTGTATATTGAAATACAATCAGCCAACTAACTTCTAAGCAATGATCAAAAGAACTGTGAGTACTTAGTACTAAATAATTTGCGTACTTGACATACTTTTCTCTTTGAATTCTTCAAGTCTTTTCATGTGCTTCTGTTTTCATTACTTAAAGAACAAATTTTTATGAGTACTTTATACAAGTAACTTAGGATTGAGTGTTTAGATCTCAGGAACCAGTACTCTCAATTCCAAAGTACTTGAAATATTTCCAGTACCAGTATTTCACATATAAAAATACATGAAATAATTCAAGTAAAAGTACCACTTTTATGAAATTACTTTGAGTGAGTGCAGTACTTGAAGCACAATACATTACCAAGTATTGTACTTCCAAGTAGTTATTGGTACTGAATACCGCAGCTGAATAACTTAAAGTCAGAAATTAGTTTAGATCTACAAATATAGGATTTGGTGGAATACTCATGGTTTTCATGGCCAACTTTCTTTTTGATCTTCAATTTCGTTTCCTTTACAATATCTTTTAGGAATCAAAGTCGAACTTGTGATCCCAAAGCGGTTTACAAATTATTTTTTTCATTCCACATTTTCTTAATTTTTGAGTAGTTTTTCTACTGGTTTTCCAGGTGAAAATATACCTCCTAGACCGCCATTACCGAGAGGAATTCTAAGAAGATGCATCGATAAAACTGACGTGACGAAGCGCTACAGCATGTACGAAACCAGCGAGGAGGAGAATGTTGAAGAAACATCCCACAAACGTAAATCTTTACCTGATCCCTACTTTATGCAAAGAAATAAAAGATTGTCTGAAACGGAAGACGAAGGTGTTGATGCGGGCACGTCCAGCAGCAGCTTGGACGAGAACCCTGAAAATCTGTCCAGACACAAGACAGATTTTCTCCTCTCGAACATCAGCACAGATGAGATGGCCCAACTCGAAGAGTTTTTGAAACTGAGTGGCATATCGAATTCGGATGAGGAGAACACAGAACGAAGCTTGACACAGCTGCGTTCATATGTTAGCAAGTTTTTGGCATTGAAAATCAATCAGGAAGGTTCAGAGCACTTTGGAGGAAAAAAATGTGTGAGTTTCGCCGAGAAAGTCAACTTGTTACCGAGACATTTGGAAACGAAGCATTTCATTCCTCCTAATAATTCACCCAACGTTTCCGCGTTCCTTCATCAGAAGAATCATCAGGTGAGTTATTTTTTTCATAATTGAATGATACTTATGATACTGAACTAATGGAATGACTTGAATGTTTCCTTATATTAACTTTGACTTGACTTTGACTATTCTCTTTCTTTTTTCAATTTTGATGATGTTGAGAAAATTGGAACATGTAATTGTAGAATAATATATTTCGTTAATCTGCATTTGTTGTTTAAAACCAAATAATTATTTTTATCATCAAAAAGTGTAATTTGATTTTGAAATTTTGAATGATAGTGATGTTACATTGTAATTCTGACACGTAAAATGTTTGCCTTTCGTTATCTACAAATTAAAACAAAATACTGTTTGTTAAATTTGTTGTGGTATAAAATTTTTTACTTGAAATTCCAAATTGATGAATTCATAATTGATCTGTTTATTGATTGGGAAAGAATTGATGATTTCAACATAAATTTTCTTTCATTTTTTGTTACAAATGCACATTCACCTTTTGAAAGGTGAATGATATAAACAAACCTCTTTCAGTTTATGCTTTCATTGAATGTGTATTTTGATTCTAAAATTTTCGATAATCCTAGATATCAGATCATAACTTCGACTAATGAATATTGGGATTTTGGATAAAAATTATTCTCTTCATTACCATAAAATCAACAAATAGGACATAGCAACGTCAAGTGGTATAAATACAATTTAGGTTTTTTCAAAAGTTTTATCCGTTTTTATGAGTCTACTTTGAACTGTAATATCTCAGTGAATATGAATTCAATTTAATAGAAATAAGTGATATTTGAATCAGTGCACTTTTCCCAATGTAACACAAGTTGATAAATTCCGTTGGCATGAAAAGTGCGTGCTTGGGATTTGATAAAGTCGACTAAGTCCGTTTTTGCTTGGTCCTGATTGGCGAAGGTTCTTCCGGTGAGACAGTTATTGAAGTACTTGAAAAAATGGTAGTCGGTTGGGAGAGTATGTAGTAGTAGACTTTATTGTAGGAATCCTAAATCCTACAATATATAGTTATGTATATATAAATAATTTATATACATATATAATTTTTGCAGTAGTCATGTATCTATAATAATTTTATATATTCTAATAACAACTTTTTTAATACTTTTAAGGAACTTACAAGTTTTATTTTATCAGGTAACTTATTAAAGCTATCTATACCTTTAAAGAACAATGAATTCATTCCGCTCCCATAGTTTGTTCGGGATATATTAAATTTATTACATGTCCTTGATTATATTGCGCAGAATAAATGACTACCTGGAAAGATTCGACTTGATGACCAAATGCCAACATGGCTTTAGAAAAAAACATTCAATGGAAACAGCAACACTCAAATGGGTTCAACAAATCCATGATTCAATCAATGAGAAAAAAGTCGTTGTGGGACAAGTAGAGCTTTCGATTCTCTGAGTATTGAAATGATTTCTGAAAAACTCTTCAACATTGGTATCAGAGGCAATATCAATAGGCTCATCGTGTCCTTCTTAACTAATCGATATGTCAAAGTGAAACAAAATAATACATTATTCTGTTACAACAGGAACAGGGTAGTATTCTTGGTCCACTGATACTTTTACTGTATGTCAATGATCTTCCTGATAACATAAGTTATGGTAATGTGTACCTTTACGCAGATGATACGTCTATCATCTTATCGAGCAAAACACCGGATGAAATGAATACCCAAGTCAACACTGTACTACAAGAATTCAGTGAGTGGTGTTTTGAAAACAGATTGATTGTTAATGTCAATAAGACTGTTTGTATTGAATTTGCATATTCTCCTCAGAGTCTACATAACTTCACCTTCAATTTTCTCAATGAACTCTGAGATCAACAACTTGTACAAAGTTTTTAGGAACAATGATTGATTCCCTATTCACATGGAGAGAACACATAGAGTTTACATCTAAGAAACTGAACCAATCGTATTACCTAATAAAATCACTGAAAAGTAAACTAGATAACAAATCTCTACTAACGGTTTTTTAAATTTCACTCCATAGTATGTTGCAACATTGCTGTCTGGGGATTAGCCACTGAAATTGACAGAATATTCGTAAAACAAAAGGCACTGCTACGATTAATTTTCAACCTTGATTACAGAATGTCGTGTAGAGGAATATTTCAAGAGAATAAAATATTAACTGTGGCAAGCATATTTATTTTAAAACTCATGACATATATCCACGAAAATAAAAGGCACTTTGACCTATGATCGGAAGTACATAAATATAGTACTAGAGAAAACTATATGCTCACAACTCGAAATCACTTCTATACAAAATATGAAAAGTCTCCTGTGTTTGTTGGAACGAGTATTTATAATAAATTGCCAAATAGTGTATATATATATATGTAAACACATCGGAAAAGTCTAGGGATATTTTTATAACATACTAAATATCATAAAAATAAATGCATGAGGTCGTTTAATTTCGATTAAATTGGTACATTACTTTTTATATGTATCCGATCAAGATTTTATTTAACGTATCCCATCTATGTAATGTAGCACAAAGGATAAATAAATTCTATCTATCTATCTGCATGAGTGAAGATCACTATTGCGAACTAAATATCTGCTAAGATAGGCTGGTTGTATACCACTCGTAATCTTGAAAATAAAAATCATGCTCAAATAATACAGTCTTTTATGTACCGGCTGCCAGTGTAGAGTATTCAACATAAATTCAATAGGAGTATACTGGTTGCATCTCAAAATTATTCTCATACCTCTATTTTGTAGTTTCTGCAACTGTCCCATTCGATTTTGGTTGAATAGATACATCAGTGCAGCACAGTAGTCAAAGTGTGGCCTTATTATGCAGTTGTAACATGTTAGTCTAGCAAAGGTTATTAAAGACTTTCGGTGAGGCAAAACTTCGCTCAATTCGTTTAATTTTCGGACGGTGATTTGTGAAACGTGCGGACGGGCGTTGTCGTGTAGCAGGATCGGACTAATACTGGCTGCTGCTGATGCAACTTTCGGTACATTTCGTCGATGGTTCCACTTTTCATCACACGTGACAATCCGATCCATAAAAGCATCGTTTTGGTTGTGCAAAAGCAAATAAGGTCGTTCAAATCGTATGACACCCACTTTTTCTGAGCTTCCTGGCCCTTCCAATACGTTTTAAACCATCAAACACTGCATGGGAGCTGACGTCTAGATTTTTCGCCATCTCACCCCCCCATCTCAGCCCCCCCCAGGGTCCTCAAATCCTCGTTCTGGGTTAATGTAGGTACCCCACTTTGGGGTTCATCTTCAAGGCTAAAATCTCCGAAGCGAAATTACGCAAATCAACCTCGAACAGTGCGTTCATTGACTGACTGGTTAATTTTTCGGGTTGTTTCCGTACAGCTTTGTGTCAATATGAATTCGTAGAGAAAAATTTACCAAAAATCGCTTAACGATATAATATAGTAACAAGCTAGAAAAAGGCAAAAAACTGAAAATTGAAAACAAATGGTATAGAGTACAAAATTTTCTATTGATCAGTAGAGTAAATATTTATTGAGATATGGAGCTTCGAAAACACATGATATTAAAACGAAAATAACTTTTGAAACAGCATTTGATTGTTATCACAAATAATTGAAATAATGAGTCATTATTTCTTGTTTTTGTACTCCATGAAATAAAATTTCCCACTTTTTCACATATTCTTAATACGCATTCCTTCCTCAAAAAGGCCTGACATCACTCATCTCTTATTTCAGGCTAAAAATTTGGTCGACATGCCAATTTGTGAAGAAAACGAAAACAGTCCAAACTATTCTAGTCCACAAACCACTCCCATCCATCTGAGCAAGACCTTGTCAGACAACCTTATCCAGAAACGGTCCCTTATCAGCGCCGTCACCGACTCAGTTGAACAACTAATGCACCATTTCTCGCTTGCATCCAATCAATTGGAACTAAATGCATTGGGAGACGCCAGCATGAACCCTGCATGCGCCAAACTGGCCCTCACCACGCTTTGCCCAGCGCTCTACGCGGTTCTCAGCGACGGGCTGAAGCCAAGCTTAGAAACCAGCTTCGGATCTATTAATAACTCAGTCTGGCAGGTCGTGGAGGCTTCCGCGCAGCAGGGTCCTTTAACAAAGGCTTTGAACGAGCTTGTCATGAGGATAAATAGCGAAGATGTCATCACTGAGGGTCTAGTCAAGTTCAATGCCTTTGTCTTTGGCCTGCTCAACGTCCGATCTTTGGATGCGTGGGCTAGTTATCTCAGAACGAGGGAGAGTATATTGAAGAAACACTACACTGCAGATTCTTTGATGGTGATGTCCCATACCGGTGGGGCGAACGTTCGGTCTTTACTGGACTCCATGATCGCCGCTTTGCAACCGCTTGCATTTTTGCCTTTTCAGCTGGATTTATTATTCGAGTTCAAGCAGTTGCATCTCAGCTTCAAGAGGATGGATTCTTTTCATCAGCCGCTTAGTCCTACTCATAAGGTATGATCTTATTTTCAATATTTATCAGCACAAGGAGTTGAGTAATCCTTCATGTTTGTGGCAATATAAAAACTAATATGCAGAATTCATCCACCAATAAAAGGAATGTCTCAAAAAATGTAAGAGATAACAATAATAACAACATCAATTTATTTTCATATGATGATTACATAGAAAACAAGTCATATAAAATGTGAAATGCAATATACAATAAAAAGCTAATTATTACATAGTAAAAGGGTAAAAATTTGAAAGTTGAAAATGATGTATGTATCTATCAATCGATCAATCACACGTTAAAAGGTAAGACCTCGTTAGTCCTTAGCTCGCACAAGTTTCTCAACTTCTGAGAGTTGTCGTCCGTATGGGGGCGGCAGCTGATTAACGGAAACACAGATTTTAAAACAGATTTTTTTTAAAATGTACTTTATTGTCGAAAGAAAAAAAAATCTCATTAACAAAGCTTATATAAATTAAAAAACAGTCAATTCACAGTAACAATGGAATAATATAGATCCTAATGCTGCAAGTAGATAGGACATAAGATTCTACAAAGCAGTTAAGAATTGATTTACATGTATAGATAAAATAAATAAATCAGTCGGTTCGACCTCAAGGGTTCAAGTACTCAAAATCTGTCTTCAAGATATTCTTCCAAGCTATAATGTGCTTTCGTGAGTAAAAGTTCCTTCACACGTTTTCGGAGTGTTTTTGACTATTATACTTGTCATTTCAAATGGTAGATGATTGGATATTTTCAGAGTTTCAAATATTATGGAATTTTTTGTTAAAGTAGAAGTTAGCTTTGGCAGAGGTATTTTGGCATTTTGCCGGGTGTTATATATTCTTTCGGAAAGAATTAGACATACTGTTTCTAGAATGAAGATGCAGTAGATTGTTAGTATTCTTAATGAAGAGTGGTCTACAGTGATCCAAACGCTTGGCTATACATATATATCTTATCAGTCATAAAGAATATGCTAAGAGCTCAACAAAGTAGGGAGAAATGTGAACACCATCAACTAGGAAGGGCGTTGAAGAGACAACACCCATTAAAAATACAATTTATCACTGACATTGAATTTGTAATATCATGAAGTCATATTGAACATACAGTTGATGTGAGATTCATGAAATACACAGCTGAATTCTGCAGTTGTACATCATCAAAAATACAGGAAATATACGTAAACATATCTTTTGAATTATTTAAACAGCAATGGAAGTTTGGACACCGACCGGATTTTTCCCCATGAGAATTTATCTTTCTAATTTTGGATTGATTCCACTATGTTACATGGGTGACAGAACCGCATATTGTTATGGTACTTAATAGGTGGCTTGAGAGGTAATAATGTAACCTACATAGTAAATAAGAGACGGAATATTATAATCTATTCCCATTGAAAACAAAAATATATTTTCCATTTCAAAAACGCAAACCCTCAAGAAGGGAAAGAAAATCCGGGCTGGTACGCTGTAGTCGTCTCCTACTGCAGGACTGCATTTCCTGATGAAGGATAATCCACTCCAAGGCAGATGAACCATGCATGTCATATGTCAAAAACAATTCAGAAACTGCACTGTAATATTCTCAACGTCCACTTCGACCTACCTCTTCAGATGGGTTGTTTTGAGTTTGCTGTGAGCGAAAGTAATGACGTCATGAGTCACCGCGACCACAACGACCGCGAACTGCTAAAGGAGCATTTTGATCGTTGTGAGCGCTTGATGGAATGCACAGTTCATGATCCATAAATAATCTCACCAGTAGCTATGGAAAGAAGGGTAATCAAGGTTCAGCCTTTCATTACCATGACAAGACTTTCGATGAGAAGAAGTTGCGTCGTATCTCGAAGGTTATGTTGAAATACTGAGCGGGCTCAGAGTTGTACGTTCTTTCGTCTTGGATACACACACCTTAGGATGAGGTCGTCATTTAGGAGGACTCCCAACTCCATGGTTGATACCTCACTCAGTAGGGATATTTTAACACCCTTTGCTGCGGGGCAGAAGATTGTGTTAAGCAATGAAATACATATTTCTAAATTAATCAAGTGTACTAACCAGTCTGACCTTGACAATCTATCAAACTTGTGCTCCTCAAATTGCATGGACTTGAATGCCACAAAGTGCCATGTCATGCGCTTTTATTGATCCCATGTACCTTCTGCCACTTTTGATTATACTTTAAATAGTCATGTCTTGGAGTCTGTTAATCAAATAAAAGACCTTGGGGTTGTTCTTGATCCCACCTTGAGCTTCAGTCTACATATACCAACAGCTATCCATAAAGCCATGAAAATGCTAGGGTTTATCAAACGGCAAACCCATATTCAAAACCACTCAACTCGATAGCAACAAACATTTTATGTACCATTTTATCGTTTGAACCACACATTCAATAGCTACATTTCAAGAATCTTACGATTAGCCAATAGTAAAGTTGATCTTGAGATGTTTAACATCTCCTTGCATCATTTTAAAACTCAATTACGGAATACTGTGCTATAATGTTTTAGTGTATAGACTACATGCTACTTCTTCGCAAGCTGGAAGTTTACGAATTTAGAGGATTGGCATTACTTTGGTTTGAGACGTACCTTCCTCATCGGCGGCAGAATGTTCTATTAGATGGAATTTCATTAGAGGAACGTTTCATTGGCAGTGTGGTTGCACAAGGTTCCATTTTGGTACCGGTGTTGTTTCTCATTTATGTCAATGACTTGGTCCATGTTGACATAAGTGGTAAATTCACATGTTTCGCTGACGACACCACTATCCTCTGGCATAGCAATACCGCCTCCAATTTACTTGATCAAATCATCGTCGACATAAGAAGGGTTAAAGAGTGGTGTGATAAAAGACTAGCAGCAGGATGTCATGCAGTGAGAGTTGTTACAAGAGAGTTAGACACTACTATTACAAGATCAGTTTATTTTGCACAAATTGAGTCCTATTTACGTTATGAAATTTGTTTCTGGGGAAATTGTGCAAAATTTCGTTTCAATATGGTATTCTCTCTACAAAAAAGATCCATCAGATATTTATGCAAGGCTAGCTACAGGGATTCATGCCGCCCATTATTTGTGAAGCAAAAAATTCTGTCCTTAGTATGTCTTTTTATTTTGGAAACAGTGTCTTATCCACAAAAAATATAAAAATCAATTTAGTAACACCTCAACTTATAGTACACGTCAGTCTTACTCCGTTTCCCTTCCCACGCCTTCTCTAGCCCTTACACAAAATTCTATTATTTTCAATAGCAAGAAGTTATTTAACCACCTTCCCATTAATTTAAGGCGAATATATAATGAAAAGAAAGTGAAAGAATTCCTTGTTGGGAGGCCCTTTTATAGTGTGGATGAATTCTACCAAGGCTCTATCGAGTAATTAGCATGTAGCTTTGTGTAAACAAGTTATTGAAACCAACACGAAATGGCTATCAATGTTCATTATGTAGCATTATATATTTACATTTACCTAATATTCATAAATTCATGTACTTATATTTGTATCTGTTCAGCTGGACTTAATATTGTTCTGTCCATATACTCTGCTCTTGTCTCTAAGCATTATTTTATAGTTTATATTTGTTAATTGTCCCATATACATGTTTTACTTTACTAGACTTTGCCAATAAGATGCTCATATCTTGGGTAATAAAGCATATTTTGATTTTATTTGTATGTTACATTGTCCCTACTATAAACATGTAATGTTTCTTGGGATTAATAAATTCATTCATTTATTTACAATCATTTTCTTGGGTCTCTTCAGTTTTAGAAAAAATATCCATAGTTTTTTATTACTTCACAATAGTAATTTTTCATTATTGTTATAGCACTCACCATCCCCAAATTTCAAACAGTTCAGCTCTGCAAGACTTGGCCTCTCTTCACCCAGTAACCGTTCAAACTCTGAGTCGGAAGATATTTCCACAGCAAACACGGTTCGCAACTGTTCTATAAACAATGAACCCGATCTTCTCGATACCCCTCCTGCCTCTAAGTTGAAACCTCGCAGCGATAAGGAACGACCCAGATCGTGCGTCGATACTAGCGCAAATTCTAGACCCTCCTTCAAACTCGGGGAAGACATGAACAATATAGCAAGGAAGAGGTGGTCGAGCATCGCTTTAAACTCGAAACTTTACCAAGCTTACGACAGACTAGCAAAGGAAGACGAAGAATATACGGACAGCTTGGAGAATCCCGAACGGCAAGACAGAAGCGACGAGAATGTACCATCACTCAAAGAGGAGTGTGAGCCAGAGTCTCTGGACTCGAACTTCTCAGATGAAAAACCGATTAACGGAAGGAGGTTCAAAAAGCTGCAGCAAAAGTGGGAGATGCTGAGCGGGCAGAACTCTACAGAGTCTCCTCCTCCATCGCCTACACATGTGACCAAATCGAAGATACCTAGGCCGATATCGTCACCTGTGAAACCGTCGGGGATTCCAGTACTAGTTTCTCCGGTCGTCAAAGGAGGTGTTAATATTGCGAAAAAGGTTACAACGCCTCCATGTGGAAAGGGTAGTCCAATCACTAAGGGGTTGGTTAGCACCAAGAGTTCACCAATGATTAGGGCAGGGCCCAGTACAAGGTAAAGATTGAATTTTTATAATTTATTTATGATGGATTAAACAATAATTATCGTGAAAACTGGGCTTACTGCATTACTTGAGAGTTATTAGCAATTTGTCTTTTTCTTTTTAAACCTGCCGGATCTTGTATTATAAAAAACATGGAATTAAAAATTAGTTGAATTAGTAGTTGAGCAGTCTATCACTAATATCATAGCTTCAATTCAGTTGTTTCCAGATTATATTGTAAGGGCTTGATTGAATTAGTTGAAGGTTCTTGTTGATTCTCATCGAAATAAACTCATCAGAACAAACTATTTTAAAACTTGACAACATTCTATGATTCAAATTAATTCAGTATCTTCTGCCACTAAATTTGGTCCATTTATCATAATAATATATTCACATATTTAAAAACCAAATATTATGAAAAACCTAGAAAGTCTAGAGCACTGAAATAATGTTAGGACTTTTGTCTTTTCTAAATTATTGTTAATTTCTGAAATAAAGACCATTGAAATTAAATAAAACAAAACAGTTGTGGAAATGGGTTTATTGCATAAATAAAAGTTTGGCAGTATTACTTGATTATAATTGTTGCAGGAAGCGTCTCTTTTTTCTTGATGCTGTTATTTTATTATTTCAACCGTGTTTTTGTCTCAGCTGATAGTCAATGTCTGTTAATGTGTATTGAAACACTGGATTGAAACATCCTTTATGAAATTGTGCAAAGCTTTATTTTCAAATCATTAGTCGTGTTATTTACTGTTCTTTTTGACATACCACTTCTTTCAATCTTCGCAGCTTCAGTCAGAGGTCATTCATAACCATTTTAAGGATTTTTCACTTTTTTTTATTTAGTCACTTAACTTTTTGACTAAATGGGTTCAAGTTGTGACCCAATATTTCATTGTTGTGCATACGGAACCAATTTCTATTGATTATTATGAGCAATTACCAAACATAGCTTTTTCTTCGTAAAATTTGTATTTTTATCATAATAATTTTCTTTATGCAACAGTGGCTCTCTGTATATCAGGTCAAGTAATTGTATGTTAACCAAAAATATATCCTTATTGAATCAACCCAAATAAAACTTTTTGATGGATATAGAAGTTGCAGAAAATCAATTATTTCAAATTTCAACCAAAATTGAAGAAATGTTCTACAGGTATACTGAAATAAAAAATAAACCCATTCTAACTTGGGTGGCGGTGGTGTTATATTATGCCTCTCTCTCGACTTTTTCACCACGAAATTTTCCTATATTCTCCTTTTTTAAAAGGAATCTTTCAGAAACAATTTAATATCATAAACTTCACCTCACGATTTGATCTCCACAAACTTCATTTTAAAAATATATCATGACATTTTTCATCAGTTCGGACTTCCATTGTATAATATAATATAAATTGATTTGAAAACCCTGAAAAAAAATTAAAAAGATTAACCGAAAATAACAAGTTTTGTTATTGTTAATAATATTTTTCAATTTTTATTTTTCAGCTTTCATTAATTAATCTTTTTTTTAATTGTTTGGTTGTTGCTTGCATGTTATTTCTAATTTCAGTTTTTTGTTTAATAAATGTTGTTATTTTTGGTTAATCTTTTCAATTTTTTAAATTTTTTTCAGGGTTTTCAAATCAATTTTTATTATATTACACAATGGAAGTCCGAACTGATGAAATACACCACGAAACATTGTCGACCACCTTCAAACATATCATGACATGTTTCACTAATACAGTAGCTTTAAATCACTATTGAATAAAGTTTGTGGAGATCAAATCGTGAGGTGTAGTTTTTGAAATTACTATGGATCTTCATCAAGTAACGGCCGAATCAATCAGAAACAATTTATTTGATATCATTGACATCCAAATCAGATATCGAATAAATATCAGGAAACTTTTGTAACCAAATTATCATATTTTAATTACTGCTATCTCTGAAAGATAGACCTGGAACCAAAGCAAACAGTGCTCACACACACCAGAATTTTAACAAAGTATAATTAAACTTAATTGTTGAGGAAAGAGAAAAGTGTTACAATTCTGCGGTATGGGAGCAACAGCTTCTGTATTGGACAATTATTATTTTTATCGAGAGCTCACTTTACTAAGATACCAAGAATATACCGCATATTTGATAATTGTTGAAGGTTGATTAATTTTACTTTTCGGTACTGTCACAAATCTTGGGTGAGAACTCAAGACGAAACAATAATAAATACATTTTAATCAGGACAAATGGTCGCCCAAATTCGATACCTCTAGCCAAATCTAAAAGCTGTGGTTGTAAATTGGTGAGTTTAGTTTTTCAGTTTTGGCTCAAGAAAATCAGTTCTTCATCTATTAACAAATCTTCATCAACACTCTACTGACAGAACAAAAATTATAATTTCTTGCAGCTTTAAAATCATCAACTAACGTAATTAATGAGTATCAGTCAATAAGTTTTGATATTTCTACTTGTCGTGTTTCTTATCATGCTTTGTTAGTAAATGTCCTAATTTATCATAGAAGTTTTTAGAAACTGATTCAAATTTTAGTGCTTCACACTCATTCTCACCAGTATAAAGGGCTTCAACCTTCTGCTAACTAATTTTGATTAAACCAATTGGTTATACTTATGAGGTGAAAGTTATAGATCAATGTACCATCAAATTACGACATTTTCCGAAATTTCACTTCACCAAACATTCCAATGCTCATCTCACTAACAAATTCTGTGTGATCACTTCATATTCGTTTTTTGGTTTGATTTTCACTTTGCAGGACAAGCAGAGTGGACCAGTTAGAACACCCTCATGACACTCCTAGACACGTGCAAAGACCTAGTAGTTTACCCTACAAAGCAGCAAATCAGAATGGAAAGACTTCTAAAATCACTCCTCCTCGAAGAGCAGCATCTAGTTCGTTGAGTAGGAAACCGATCAGTCATTCTACGACACCCAAGTGAGTAACTGCTCATTACTAATTTATACTTCAGCTTTGAAACTTGTCATGCAATCTACAAAAGAAATAGAGTGGGGTAGTTCATTTTCTTGTGTGACAACTCAAAAATTGTATATAATCGTTGAAAAATATACAAATAAAACAATTCTGTGAACTTGCAGAAAAAAAATTTTAGTTATTTTGAATACTAAAATGAAAATATTTACACAAAACATGTAGACTATAAACAGTCCAAACGAAAGACAACCAATATGCCAACAATGTAGTCTAGGGTAGAACGAAAAATATTGGTTTCAATTTCGATATGTAATAGCGATAAAAAGTTGCCTTTTGCTATTATTAAATCAATTATAAAGTTTGAACAGGATTGAAGTAGAGTAAGAGGTGCCGCAAAGGGTTGGAAATTAGTGAAATTTAACAAACTTCAATACATTTGGATCTGCAAAAAAATTTGTATTTTTCCATTTCTGCTTAAAAATAGCAGTTGCAGGTGACTAAGATGCACTAGCTAACAGCTGATAATAGTTGGTGAAATAATATGTACGGTTAGAGTGGTTGGCGGGTTACTGTTTGTCTGCAGCAAGTAGATGGAAGGGGAAGTGTACTGTTTCATGTTGTGACTTGTCTCTTTATGCTTCAGAGGTTATAGTCCAGTCCAAGTGTTCGTGTAAGACACAAACAGTTGTTGTGAAGTGCAAGTTGCGAATGATTAATTTTGATTGTGTTGGTAGTGTCAGTAAATAATTTGTTAATAGACCTTTAGTGTATTTGCATAATACTTACAAGTTTGTTGTTAATGAGATGGCAGAGATGCTGTCAAAGCATCAATTCCTACAGTGTCTCATACACGTATGTTGCAAATGAGAAAAGCATATCATGACAAGTATGGAAATATATTGAGGTCAAAGGACAGAAAAGGCACAAAAAATTATGATTTAGCTGTAGACAAATTTTTAATTGAATATAACACCTTGCGAGTGCAAGTTGTTCTCAGAGTGTAAGTGTTCGGTTAGGTCAAAAGTGAGTGGGTCAATTCGATCCTCCACCGCAACCCAAAGGGGTTTGTTGTGGCTCACACCTATTCACACTCTACTAAATGAACCCAGCCAATTAGTTTGTATGGTGAGTGGTATTTCAGGTCAGATGGTAAAAGTACGACTATGCCAAACTCTGAAAACCTGATTTTGGTCCCCAGCGGGGCAGGCACAAAGTATGTGCTCTGCTGTTTCATTATTTTCCAAACAGAGGCGACAGACACTGTTTTACAACAGTCCGAGTCTGCATATGATGATTCAAATGACAGTGACCTGAGAGAAGGCCTGTTAGACATCGTAGTTCATCCCTACTGTAGTCCAACAACTTTTGGTATCAAGTGTAAGTGTACGAAAGACAAAAATATACCTGTGCTTGAACAAAAGTTTTCAATAGATCGAAGAACTGATAAGAAAATGTGTATCAGCATACACGATAAGTCGGTTACTAAGATTTTGAACCAGAGAGAGAATCGAAAGTTAAAGGTGATTCGACAAGAGAGAAAACACATAAGGAAGTTAGGCCTCCGACGACTTCTGAAGAACAGAAGAATAAGGTACGGAAGTTTGTGATCAATTGGGCTGATGTAATAATCACAGAACCACTGATGACAAAGCGCGTAACTGGTGAGGATGTAGCCAAGTACATAAGTGAAGCTAGAGAAGATGGCCTGATGCATTCTATTGATTTTCCTCGTTTTTCCTGTCATACACAAGCAGTGGAAAGAGTAATCAAGGTTGTAACAGAATTATCACTCTTGTGTTTGTGGTGTAGAAGAAAGAAATGGATTTGTCATAGCCAGAAGTGCTTCACACAAAATGACGCCAAAATTCGAAACAAAGAAAAACTTTGCCTAAAATGTAATTGAGAACATTGAATATAGATTTAGCTTTGTTATAATGTTTTATTTATCCATTATTTGCATTTTATGAATAAATGTGTGCGCTTATCTCAATGATTATGACTTTATTGCTTAGGATAATACCTTTTCGACTCTCTCATTTGGTTCAATATTATCACTGTATTATAAAAATAAAAGGAGACTTTCTAAGTACTTTAAATAATCATTACAATATCATATTTACCCATATCTTACTACAACAAAGCCAAAAAAGGAAATTTTTTTAACAAACAGTATTTTCATGTTTTAATAAATATTAGGCGTAGTTTTTATGTAATTGAAATAGTAAACATAAACTATTCTCAAAATGAATATATTTCTAGAAAGTTTGAAAATTTAAAGACAAAATATTATGTTCAAGGTTTTTGCGGCACCCCAAGATGTGGTTATATCACATTCCCTACTTATTGAAAAACTAAGTTATTATGGCATAAGGGGCACTACCCTGGAACTCCTTCGTTCATATCTTACAAACAGATTTCAATGTGTTGAGATAAACAATGTAAAATCTGATTTCAAAAAAATCGAGCATGGCATCCCTCAAGGTTCAATCTTGGGACCTTTCTTATTTATTGTGTATATAAACGACTTATGCCACGCCATGGCACCTACTAAATGTTTTCTATTCGCTGACGACACAACAATTATTTGCTCAAGCAAGTCTTACACTTACTTGAAAGACTCCGTCATCACAGTACAAAACTCAGCTAAGCTTTGGTTCACGAAGAATAAACTCAAATTGAATGAAAGAAAAACCCAAAATTTGATTGTCTCCACAAATACAAATTATCGCGAGGGGGCAAATGTATCGTTTCTAGGCATTACGATTGATGACAAATTAGGCTGGAGAAATCATCTTGACCTTGCTGTTCGCAAATTATCTTGTGCTCTCTTCGTTCTGAGAAGGTAAAAACATGTAACGAACCCTTATATTATGAGAATATCTTACTTTTCCCTTTTTCATTCTGTACTTTCGTACGGTATTCTCCTTTGGGGAAACTCTACTAACGCAATTGCTGCTTTCAGATGCCAGAAAAAAGCCATACGCATCTTGGCTAACCTGGGATACAGAGACCACTGCCATCAATTTTTTATTCGTCTGGGTATTATGCCTCTGCCTACTTTATATATTTATACTGTTCTGCTAGAAATACATCGCAATAAATTTTAATTTAACTAATATTACTGTGAATTTGCTGTGACTTGCCATAAATGTATAAACTGCATAATCTGGTCAAATAAACTACTACTACTACTACTACAATAAAACTTTGTAGAATAATTTCTCACATAAATAGACAAATTTTAATCACCATTAGAATGGGTCACACAGGAATCTAATGTAGGCGGAGGCTAACAGTGAAACATATCTTACTGAACTGTGTCCAGTATGATGAAATACCAAATTCTCTGAAGGAATGTGAAAGGTCATGATGAAAATTATAAAATTTATTAAAGCTATAGGGCTGTACTCAAAAATTCGAACAAAAAAAAACAAATGATAGACAAACTCAAAGTAGCAGGCCAATGACCTCGTGGTCGAAGCCTTTGAACCAAAAAAAAAAACAGTCTAAACGAGATAAAATATTTTTGTGTTATTATACACTATAAACTGACGTTAAATGCTAGTAAATATACATGAATATACGACAAAATGGTTTAGACTTTCGCAGCTGAGGTTTTCAGTGTCATTATTTTTCGAGTTTGAAAGCCGTGGATTTTCGGAATTTCTTCCCGACGTTTCGCTGGCGCGAGTGGCCAGCTTCTTCAGAGGTTTTAACCATTATGGCTTGCTGTCCGATGACTAACTTTTAGACTTCGTAAAGCGTATTTATGCTTTGTCAGGTAATCAGTTGTATTTGTACCTGTACTTGTCCCTGTACCTGTACTTGAACCTGGAATATTAACAATCTTGCTGCTCCAGGTTCAAGAACAGGTACAAGTGCAGGGACATTAACAATCTTGCTATAGGGTCAAAATTCCATGTTTTAGAAAAAGCTATCTACAGTGATCTCTGGATTTAGCTTTGGATAGATATCTAATAACTCTTTTCTGTAAGATACATACTGAGTTCATTAGCTGATTACAGTAAAAACCCCAGAACAAAATGCTGTACATTAGGTATGATTCAATGGGAGAAATGACTCTAATTGCGTAGCAGCTTGAGGCTAGGTTTTTGTTTAAGGTCCTATATGATCATCAAATCGTAGTTTATCGTCAATGTATCTACCTAAGAATTTTGTGCAGCTATTGTTAATTATGATCTGTTCATTCCGGATCAAATTTTCGTAATTAAACTTGAAGGTCAAGATGTTGGTTTTATTTCTGTTGAAATAAAAGTCATTTGAGTCACACCAAGTTGTAACTAACTCTCTGTGACTCCAGAGAGATCTTTCAGAATGTTTTCGTCTTTTCCGTGCTATAGTATGGTAATATCATCTACGAACATAGTAAAGGTTCAATGTATTTTCTTTCAGAAAACTTTTTACCCTTTTGGAAAATTCAACTATGTTTACTTTCTTCCACTCATTTCCAATCAAATTGTAATATTCAGTGGACAAAATTCTGAAAGAGTTGAGATTGTTTTCAACAATGTTTGGAAAAGCAGAAATTTTGATTAAAAAAAAAAAACCGAACAAAATATTTTTCTTTGCAATCAATGAATAAACCCTAGTAAAAATTGAAATGTTTTTTTTTATATATTTTCTGTATTGATGACACTTTAATTTATTGTATTTCCTGAAATGAAAATTTGTTATTGATAATTTATTGATTTCTATCACTCTGTTATGATTTCAATTCAAATGGTTCATAAATTTTCTTTTCCAGGGTTGTGCGAACCCTGAACCACAGGTTACCTTCCGAGAGCGGTCATCTATCCTACAACGAAGGAGAACGGTTACGAGTGGTATTAGAAGTCGACGAAAAATGGTTGTTGTGCTGCAGGGGTACTCAAAAAGGTCTCGTGCCGAAATCGGCCGTTATAGCAGACACCGGACGATTCTGACTGTAAATAAAAAGTTGTAATGTTCGAGTTGTAAATTTTTATACAGACTGGACTTGTGATGAATAAGTTATTCGATTAGTCTAGGTAAGGCATATTTTTTAAGGAAACCGTGCTAGTATGATGTACATTGCGGATTGAGTATTTCAAATTGGAGTATGTCAAAACAATTAGAAATTTAGTAACTATTTCAGATATTGTAGAAACTGAAAACTTTCACAACATGAGTATTTTAATTTTTGTAAATATACTTCGATCATTATTTTTACATTTCTTTATAAGTGTTATTGTTCCGGGGTCTACTTTTTACTATTCTGAATTTTTATGCTGGCTTGTGAGACTGTAAGCTTTCAAAGTTGTTGGTGCTCTAATTTGATATACTCAGTCTGTCCTGTTTATACCGAAAACATTGTTAATAGTTGATATTCCCTTTTCTCCCTTATTGTTGCCGCTTCTTGTGAATGTAAGTGTTACTGATATTTTCCTTCTTTCTGTTTCTTTCGTCGGTGATAGTATTTTAGTGTACTAAATGGGTACTGGATACTTAAATATATAATTTGAAGCCATTGTATGGTATTCGATCTACCTATATTTTTATTTTTTGTTGGAATGTCGGGAAACGTCATGAAACCAGTTTTCTTTTCGGTATCTGCTCAACAAGTTCTGAAATTCTTTCCAACTGTGCTCAACTGAAATTTATAAATATGATCTAGATCTTTTCAATCCTTCATGTATTGATTTTGCCTTTATTTTAATTTTTATATGGTTTCAAAATGTTCTACAAAAATATAATTTCATCGAAGGAAATTATTTTTTATAAAATCATTGGATTTTGATTATGAATAGCTGACTCCTCTATAATCGGTTTTACTTTTATTGCAGTGTTTGTGTAAAATTGGAACTTGATGAGTGGATCATTTCCTCTTTTTTCCTTTCGGTGGTTGGGTTCAATTTCTCCAGAATTCAGCAAAAAATATGTGCCATGACAAGCGAATTTCTGATCTAACAATCTTTCCTGGAACTACCGATCCTGATATTTTAACAGTGTTGCATTCGCCGGTATTACAGAGCCCTCACAAGCCCTACTAACAACCTGGCCAATTTACCCTCCTGTGCATGCTTACATTTCTTGTGAAGGGTTTTGTAACGTTATGGTACATATTACTGTAGTTATATAGTTACGTTTCTACTGAGAGCTTGTACAATTTTGTCAAACTCGACTGTGGTAACCAGCACAATTTTGTAGTTTTCCTTTTCGAAATTTTCGCACACCAGAGCATCTGGCGTGGGCCCAGTATTTATTGGAATACCCGGAATCCAACCGAAGCTCGAATAAATCCTACTTAATTATTTATTTATGTTTGTTCATTTGGCCTTTGAAAACTATTCTGGTATCAATTTTAAAAAGTCAACCAGTTTTGCTGATAGCTGAGGCCTCGAACTTATTCTTCATCTATTTCAAGTGCCATCAGTATTTTTTTTTCGAACTTCATATCTCTCTTCTAACACCAGTCAAATTTTCCTAGTCTTCATTCATTATAAAATTAACTTATTGGATATTTGTGGAAAACAAAATTTTTAATCATTGGATGGCCTAGTTGCCAATCTCTTACAGATATTCAAAGTGAATGAACAAACTTTGTTACCTTACTAATACTCTTCCTTTGGAAGGAAAATGGTTTCTTGGCAATTTCTGAGTTGCTTTCTATGGTTAACTTATTGGGCCAATGTGATAATCTACTTTTAACCTCAGAGCTTCTTCTAAAATACTTTGCTGAATGTAATCTAGTGAATATTGTAGTAACATGAGTATTATGCAAGTATATAATGATATACGTACAGATTGTCCCAAATAGGATCATTTGCGGTTGAATATCAACTGCAGGCCGTTTTTTGTGAGGCACTCTTTAAATATATATATTGTGTAAAAATTTACCAAATATCTGTGACGGTGGCCTTTTGATTGTACATTTCGCTATATTTCCTTAAATCTCCTTACCCCTGTCCTAGTTATTCATTTGCAGATTGTATTGGCATTGTTTCACCTATTTATTTGTATATATTGAATCGAAAAGAGTATGTTTTATGTGATGTATATAATCTCTACCAAAGTTACGATCGAACGATCTGAACTCGATATTCCGATAAGTTAAGTTCATATTTTGGGAGCAATTTTCATTTGTTTTTTATTCGCTGAATCTTTTTTTTAAGGCGTTATGAATGTGCGCCTCTCAAGTCATTTTTCTATCGTCTTGAGTTGAACTGTGAAGAATTGTAAACTTTCAGTTTGTTATATTTACGAATATCAATATGAAAAGCTGTAGAATCTACTCATTATACAATAATTATAAGTATATTTTGTCTTTTTATTTTAACCTGTTCTACAAGTTAACACTTATCAGTTAGTACTATAAAGAAAATCATGTGATAGCACAGTTGTATAAGACATTTTGAGAGCTAGAGCAACTACATAATACAGTAACAGAAGATACTATCAGCAGCTGAAATTATTACAAGACTCATATGAAAAAGTTGAAATGAATCTTCTGTCCAAATCACCAAGTGAGACATTCATAAAATCAAAAATTCATTATGTAATTCATCCTTCGTTGACAAAATGGTTAAGGCTTTTCGCGGCCGGGGTTTTCGATGTCACAATTTTCCGGGTTTGAAGGTCGTGGATTTTTAGAATTTTTTCCTGGAAGGGAACCGAAAAAAAGTGACACTGTCATTCTTCGTTATTATTATTATTGATTTCAACAATGATTCAGAATATTCTATTAATGAATCGAATGTAGTTTCAGCTACTTGGAAATAATCTAAATTTTTCTCAAAAAAATTAATGTTTCTTTAAAAGTGACATTTTTAATGGTTGTCAAGAATATTAAAAGATAATGTTCACAAAGGAGCGTGTCAAAAATATTTTCAACACCAGTCATGAAAAGTATTTTTAACACAATTTTTTTACATTATTATTATTTATGAACATTAATATGAAAAGTACAATAAGAACAACTGCTGATAATAATACCTTGTGATGTTGAGGAGCCTTGTAATATATTTGAACTATCTGATTTGACAATTTTATGGGCATTAACATTCAGTTCTTAAAGTGAACAGGACAATGCTGTAACACTGTTGGGATGTGTGTATATATGTGTATGTGTGTATATATGCATATATGTATATACACATATATGATAAATGAAACACCTACCTATTTTATTCGTATCACACTGTTATTATGTTCTATATATATATATTAATTTTAAGTTATTGACATACCATATGTACATACTGTACCTTAGTGGCAAATAAATAAATTCTTTCAGCAATAGCCTTTTTAAAAGAAATAGATTGATCGATGAAACCCTCAGCTACTGTTGTAAACTTCCATCCTCCGTGCTTTTTAATATCCGTTATATTTGCTCCTGATTCTGCTAGCAAAGAAGCAGAAGACCTTCTGAAACAGTGACCTGAAAGAAAGAAAGAAATTTTATCGACCTCAAATTACAATTTGTTACATTAGAAAATATCTGCAATAACAAAATCTGCTTAGGTACGTCATACTGAAAATATAAAAAATATACATAGAGTACATACAAAAATCTCACAATAGTTATGACTCACAATATAAATACACATATACACACATATCGGTACATATATTAGGTCCACTGACAATTGAATACCTCATCAATCTTATAGAAGCCTTGGTTGACAAATGAATTTTTTACTTTGAACTTCAGTTCTTTGATATGAAGGTCTTTCCACTCACTAGGCAAAGTGTTATATTTTTTTTTCAGAAGAAACTCCGTTTGTTTGGCTGTGTTTTGATAATGCATCTTCGGTAGTCTGATGATATCTTTGTGTTTTGTATCATAATTGTAAATGCTGGAGCCACTATTATATTTATTTTTGTGTACAAACAATACTGCTTTTAGTATATACATGGAAGGTAATGTAAGTATGACCCATTTTATGAAGATTGGTTTAGCATGGGTTCTGGAATCAACTTTTTCTAAATCTCTCATTATCTTTTTTTGGATAATGAATACTTCACTTGCATGTGAGGAAGCATATCAGTATTCCATAGTTTATGTGGCAATGAGCCATGCCAAAATATGCAGTTCTCAGCACATCTTTCGAAACTAAACTCTTTAGTCCTCTCAATGCGTAGCGACACCTTGAGAGCTTTTTACATAATGATGTCGTATGTCCATTCCAATTCAATTTGTTGTCAAGGTGGAATCCTAGTAGACACACTTCTTTGTCACCGTCAGACATTTGGGATCTATTTGCAATGGTTATTTCCTGACTCTTATTTGCGTTCAAGCATAGAACATTAGCGCTAAAGTATATTTCGCATTTTGCCAGTTTTTCATATGACAACTGATCTAGTTTCCCCACTTGTTGGTTACTTATGACAAAAGTTGCATCATCGGCATATAAAAAAACATATATCAATATATACAATAAATGAACGGGGACCAAGTATGGATCCCTGAGTTACTCCGTGCTTAACAATTTTAATATCAGATTTTACATTGTTATATAATATATATTGCAGCCTGTCTGTCAAAAAAGAATGTATTAGGTCATATGTTATGCCTCTAATACCATATTTTTCAAGTTTTTTCAATAATATGTCATGTGAAACACTGTCAAATGCTTTAGATAGATCGTAAAGAAGTAAGCGAGTGCTGATACCCAAATCTTTATTATGGGCAATGGTATGAACGATTTCCGTCATTGCTTGTGATGTAGACCTCATTGATCTGAAACCATATTGAGTATCATTCAAGTATCTACCCCCTTCTAGGAAATCAGGAAGTCTGTTTTTGACTAGAATTTCAATGATCTTTGATATAATGGGAGTTATGGTTATAAATCTATAGTTATTGCGATCATTAGGATCCCCCTTTTTTAGGATTGGTGTTGCTCGACATAATTTTAGGTTCGCTGGAAACATTCCACATGAGAAGCAAATATTTGCTAAGTGTGCTATAGGCTTACTAAGAGCGTCACATGCCATCTTCACTATAACGGAACTGATGTTATAGGCATCTAAAGTATTTGAATTTTTCAATGAGGCAATTATAGTTTGCACTTCAGTTTCATTAGTTGGCTTCAAGAAAAATGAATCTGTCAGTGAAGTCTTCATCAGATCTACACCATCAGTACCTGGGACAGTAATTTTTGTAATCAGCTCATCAATTACAGAAGTTGAATAGCTATTAAAAGTATCAGCAGAAATATCTGAATTTTTATGGACGACTTGTGACTTTCCATTAAATCGACTTATTATTGACCACGTTCTTTTATCAGCATTGTCACTGTTTAGAATTTTGTCATTATAGCAAGTAGATTTAGTTTCTTTTATTTTTCTCCTGTAACTTTTTCTCATGTATATATTTTCTTTTATGACTGCCTGTCATTAACCAAATGTCCTTCTGATTATTTACAGTATCCCTCATTTGTTTCAAATCATCATCAAACCAATTAATTTTTCTTTGTCTTCGATTTACTTTTTTCTCAGGGAAAGCTTCTTCACTTACATATCTGATTTCTTCACATATAAACGTTGCTAAAAAATCCGGATCAGTAGACCACGTTGTTTTACCAACATTGTCACTGCCATTGTTCTCAGGGAAAGCAACTTCACTTGCATATCTGATTTCTTCACATATAAACGTTGCTAAAAAATCCGGATCAGTAGACTTATAATTATTTGACCATTTGATTTTACTAATAATAAACCTAAATTCTGAGACACCAACATTTGAAATTGATATAATTAAATTAATTTTTTCCACAGTAGGCAGTTCATCTATAGCAATTGATATTTCTAAGCCATAGTGGTCAGATATGTCATCTTTAATAACTTGTGCATCTGAGTGGTGGTCGAAATTTATCAAAATATTATCAATGCAAGTGGAGGAATGATTGGTGACTCTAGTTGGTTCTTGTAATAAATACCTGAAGTTGAATGCATCCAATGTATTACACAGTATTTTTTTTTCTAGTGATTTACTGGAAAAGTCTACATTAAAATCCCTTGATACCAATACCTTTTTAAATTTTCGGGATGTTAATTCAGCGAGAGTGTCAAATGAAGATATGAAATTCAGAAAATTTCCCTTACCTGATCGATATAAGCATACTACCAGAATATTCAATATAGTTATTGCAGCAAACTCTGCATCAACTTCAGTGCAATATCTGTTTATATCCACAGCATTCGTTATAATAGCATTTCGAGCAAATATTGCCACTCCGCCATGCTTAAGCTTATATCTGCAAAAGGAACTTACCAAGTAGTAATTAATGATGTTGATATTAGAGATTAAATCACTTGTCAACCAAGTTTCACATATACAGACTAAATGGTATGGTTTTTCCTGGCATACAATATTTAATTCACTAATTTTATTAGCTAAAGATTGAGCACTTATATAGAAAATTGATAATTCCTGATTTTGTTCATATGGCACTATATCAATTCGATGTTCGTTGGTTGACATCCTTGCATTAGTATTCAACTGTGTGATACAGGAATGAGCCTCAGATAATGAGTATTCCTCATTTTCTATATATTTTCTGTATATTCCTTTGATTCCGGGAGGTTCAGAAACTGAGCAATGGGCATTTTCCAAAACTTGTTTATACAAACTGGGTTGGCACCATTTATAATTTGAGTATTTCAGAAAAAACGTTGATGATTTATAACAGAAGGGTGTAATGCAACCTATTCATTAAAATAGTCAATGTTTTCTCCAACAATGCAAAAAGAACAAACTATTTTCGTTTTTATATTTGGAATTTGAACAATCAATGATGTATCCATTAATTTAATGTCTTCTATTTATAAATGGCACAGCTCTTCACGCCGGCAGGCTCCATATATTCCGAAAATAGTAGCAACTTTTATCATCAAATATTTTTCATCTGGCGTCTCATTTATAAACCTCTGGACTTGTTCAAACGAGAGAGTTTTTGATTTTTTGGGCCTATAACTTTCATTATTCCGTTTTAAGAATGCTGTTACCTTGAAATATTTGCTTGTATTACCAACACCATTTTTAACGAGCGCAGTCAACTTTATCATTGAAAACTTGCTCCACAAAGTTGACGAGTTCTATATTTTTGATTTTTCTTCTAGATAGGCTAAGATGATTTCGAAATTTCCTTCGACGCTTTAAGTCTACACCAGCTAACAAAATTAGAACATGCGATGTATTGCTGAGCCGATTTTTTTGGTAACAATTCAATTGAAGATCTTTTTGCAGCCTCTTCAATATCGTCAGAAACACATAATTCCTCACTATTGTTTTCATTATGTAAGACATTAAACACCAGCAAGAACTTTAAATGTGACTTTAAATGAAATGCGTGAGCTGTAAATAATACTGTTTGTTGGTAACCAGGTGATTCGGCGTCACCTGACACGGCCACTTCACAGCAAATGCGATAACATGAAAATAGTTAACTGACATGAAATGTCAAAATTATATAAATATTAAATTTATCTATTTTACTTTTAACATTCATATCATAAATCGCTATTAAATTCAAAAAAAATAAATCAAGGATTGAAAATGATGTGAATAAATTCAATTTTTTATCACCTTATAAAGTCTGCATTCAGAAAAAACATATCAACCAAAGATGTGCTATTTGAACAATAACATTTACCAATAGTATATTGATTATTTGTATATTTCTCGTTCTATACAGTGAGTCATGATTTATTATTGAAAAAATTAGAATGTATTGAAGAAACTACCTTACTGATAGAGTAAATTATGTGTAATCCATGAAGAGTTCGATGTGGTGTCCCACGAAGAATTGTCCTGAGGCCTTTGTTATACAACATATATTTAAATGATTTACTTACTTCCAATAATAATTATAAGGAAAAATTCACTCATTTGTTGATGATACCGTCATTTTCTTTCAAGCAAAGAACTGCTCAGATTTGGAACTGTTACTAATTACTGATATTAAAAATATTGAACAATTTTTTGACATTCATGTATGAACAATTTTCAATAGAAACAAATCACCAAACTTCAACCCTTAAAAATAACTGATGCAGAAATCATAGTGTATAATGTCAGATATTTAGGAAATATGATTGAGAAACACCTGATCTGGGAACATCAAATTAATTTTATGAAAAAGTTGGGTACTTATGTCATTATTTGCTTCATTCCAAATTTTTTGAAAGTTTTTGAATGTTACTCAATTAGAGATGTCGTACTTTTTCCTAATTCTATCTCAGTTGACAAACCGTGACGTCAGAAAAACCCATATATAGATTAAGGTAGAGTGAGTTAATTACCTGCTAAAAAGTGTATATTCCAGTATTCTGACAATTTGAGAGGGACGTAAAAAAAGGGGAGGGCAATAAAGTTGTAAAAAAATAACGTCATTATTATATAACATTTTTTTCTTCTTATCATCTAAGCTTTGCAACCTAATATGTCTCAATGACGCTCGAGTAAATTCCCATTTTGCATCGTGGGCTCCTCTGCCTAATATGTCTCAATGACGCTTGAGTAAATCCCCATTTTGCATCGTGGGCTCCCCTGCTACTACATTTCGTTTTATGAGAGAGAGATCACATTGGCAGATTAAGATCTTCAGATGAAATGGTGCTGCAGGATTTTCCGGGTTTTCCTGCAGCTGAAAAAGCAAATGCGCCACTGGATTCGATGAAGTCGCCCCGGAGCGCTAATTCATTTTTGTTGTTGTTTTATAATTCTAATGTTTTGAATATAGTATAATGTATATGTCTCTAATAAATAAGGTGTTTATATAATTATAAAATAAAAAAAATTATACCCATCAAAAGTGAAGGGAATATTACAATTTTATCAGTAGTTATTTGTTGGAAGTCTGTAACAAAATCAGAATTTTGACTAATAAAAATTGAGTTTCTTCATTCTACTCGCTGTATATATTTGGGATAGATGTTAATTATAACATGACAATATTTTAAAAGGTACATTTTCCACTTTTCCCTGATTAATTATTTTTTGGAAAATATTAATTATTAAAGATTTTATATTTTCTAAATTTTGTATCTAAGAATACTCTCAAGAGATTTTTCATTCTGAAACGTTTATATAGATTTTATGTGGCTAAAATATAAATTGTCTCGGGCTGAAACGAATATTTTGCGCATGAAAGGTAAAACAGGTATTGATATTTTGGTTCTTTCAAGTTTTTTTGCTTATTACTGTATGATGTCGTTGAGCGATTTTCAGCCAATTCTACGAATTCAAGGCGCTGACGAAACGGCCAGAAAAATTAACCAGGCATTTGGCAATGATAGTTTTAATGAATGCATTGTTCGACGTTAGTTTGCCAAATTTCGTTTAGGGGATTTTAGCTTCGAAAATGAGCCCCGAAGTGCTCGACCTACAGTATTTCAGGACGAGGATTTGAGGGCCCTGTTGGAGACTGACCCATCACAAACTGTGCGTGAGATGGCGAAAGAACTGAGCGTCAGCTCTCTTGTGGTTTTTGAAGGCTTGAAACCTACCACCACCATACTCCCCAGATCCAGACCTTTCGCCAACCGACTACCATCTTTTCAAGCACTTTGATAACTTTCTCACCAGCAGAACCTTCGCCAATCAGGATTAGGCAAAAACGGCCCTCTTTGACTTCATCGAATCTCGAGCACACGATTTTTATGTTGACGGAATTATTCGACTTGTGTTACATTGGCAATAGTGCACTGATAAATTTGCTTCTGGAAACCTAAGCCTCCAGAATCATGTCATCAAAAATAAGACGTGCACCAAATTCTTGGGATTGGGAACCCTGAAGTTTGATGAACACGTGAAACATGTGTGATTTATGACTTGTTTATTTTGTGGTAATTCATGATCACTTTAATGAAGTGAATAGAAACACTTGTCTAATTACCACTAGTTAATTTTATTTATACAACTGGTTTTGAGTTTAACTTCATTATCATTAACACGAAACCGGTCGTATAAATAAAATTAACTAGTGGTAATTAGACAAAAGTGTTTTTATTAATTTCATTAAAGTGATCACAAAAAATATCTCAACAAGAAACTTGCATCTAGCTGATATGCTATCAGGGTCATCACCAAGGAGTTGGGACTAGTAGCAGGGAAAAAATGATATTTTTCTTTAGTCGAGTCTCATGTGAGGTATGGTATCACTTTCTGGGATTTCTGTAGCAAACAGCTGATGCAATCAAGTGTTTGTTCTTAAAAAAAAGGTCTATAAGATATATATGTAGAGCCAAGCGTTTGGACCAGTGTACATAACGAGTAGAATACCAACAATCTTTTGCATCTTCATTCTAGAAACAGTATACCTAACTCAAAAAAGAAAAAAAAATCCTTCTGAAAGAATATATAACACAACCAGGAAAATGCCAGTATACCTCTGCCAAAACCAACTAAGAATTCCATAATATTTGAGATTCGGAAGATATTCAATCATTTACCATTATAGACTCAAAAACATTCCGAAAACGTGTGAAGGAACTTTTACTTAGGAAAACATATTGAAGCTTGAAAGACTATCTTGAAGAGAGATTTTGAGTACCTGAACCTTTGAGGTTGAATGGACCGATTTATTTTATATATACATGTAAATCAATTTTCAACTGCTTTGTAGAATCTTATGTCCTGTTTACACTGTATTGTTCCATTTTTACTTCAATTGATTAACTGTAAATTGACTGATTTATTTATGCTTTGTCAATAAGAATTTTTTTCTTCGACAATAAAGTACACTTTGAATTGAATTAGCGCTTATTTCGATCAAATTGAGTATTCACCAAGATATTTCAGTTCAAAGTAAATTCATAAAAACGGATAAAACTTTTGAAACACCCAATAGTTACAGTAACAATTCATTGAAGTTCAAGGGTATCTGGTGAGGGGTTTTCATACCTTTGTCAAAGCCAAAACAATACAAATTTCATAGCATCCCTTTGTTCCCTACCTATGTTGAAGTCAAACATTGAGAACTGTCAGGTTTTAAAACAAAACTTAGATCATCATTCATGGGCTCTTGCTCTGTTAAAGATATGAATCAATTTATTCTAGAATTCATTTCGCAAGTACATTATTAGCTAAATGTCTTTTTATTAGTTCATCTTAAAAATGCATTATTACATATTACGGCACCACAGATAGCCAGACGAGCCTGTCTCTATAAACTGATGGATTCAATAATTATGAACTGAGTGTACAGTATTTAGTATCAATGAATGTTATAAGAACATCCCTTTTTTTTACCTACAATTTTTATATTACAGATAAACGTATCTGACATTATATATTGAGATGCATATCAGCTTAAGATGCATATCTATCAAAGTTACTAATAAACTCATCTCATGTATAATGCTATTGCATCATTTTACCTTCTGAGCCCTACAATACTACTTTTTATCTATGTATATGTTAGGTTAGGTCTAGAATAGTTTAGTTAGGACTGTGTATATGTAATTAAGGTATGTCTGTATACACTCAGGATAAATTAATAAATAAATAATCATGGATCCAAAAATGTCATTTACGTTATATGTTCAATCCAATGTAAGGCCGAAACCAACTTGAATTGGTTTCTCTCAGATAATTCCAAAACCACCTCCAAATTTTGAACCAAAACTTAATTGCCAAAACGAAGAAAAAACTTTGAAGTCAAAATTTTCCTTCACTGAAATTATTGGACTAAGTTAAAAAACAACTTTGTGAATTGTAATAATTTATTAAGTATATGTAATTAAATAACATTTAACTACCTAATCCACGTGAAAATAAGTTTGAAGAGAGTGATAAAAAGCCAAACGAAAATCAGACGCCAAAACTGGTTTTAATACAATAATAATCACAAAAATTGGGTTCCTAATAGTGTAGGTCGTTATAGATGTTTCCATAAACTCAAAAGAAAATACAAGAATTAGTAAATAGATACATCATTGTAAGCGTATGGCTGTCGTTACAGAAACACCCAGTACATAAACACAGCAAAAAAACATCCACTCAAATCTAAGGTATTCACATTTGCCTTTGAAAACTTGCTTTTATTCTCAAAAAAATTATAAAACCTAGGTATTGAAGTTGTAACTAGAAAAAAAGGGGTTGCCATAATTTCGAAGCGTGATAGTAGATCTGGTAAATGCTTCCTCAAGTGTGCTAATCAATGAAGCTCTGTTCTACGCAAGCTTTCACCCGCTTTTCATATTCTCTTCTGTTCTCTTTGTACAGTTGCGCAGCCATAGAGTTCGCAGGCGAATTTGGGTTTGGATCACTAAGTAGAGACTGGAAAAGTAAATAACTTATTACCAATAATGAAGAACAGGGACATTTTTTGAAAATAACATTTGATTAACAATAAACCCAGTTTCTTAACCGATTAGTTTATATGGTGAGTGATCAGGTCAGATGGTAAGAGTGTGGCTCTGCCAAACTCTGAAAACCTGATTCGCCCCGCAGCGGGGCAGGCACCAAGAATGTGCTCTGCTGTTTCATCATTTTCAGAGGTGACACACACTGTCTTTCGACAATCTGAGTCCCGGCATATCATGATTTAGGCGACCGTGACCTGTGAGAAGGCCTGTTAGACATCATAGTACAACCCCTCTGTAGTCCAACAACTGTTTGGTTTCAAGTAGTGTCCGACCGAAACTGGTTTTTACGACTGAAACCGAATTTCGGGAATGGTCTCAGTTTCGGCCGAATCCGAAACTTCCTCACAAGGATTATGTTTTGAGAAAAAAATAAAGAAAACGTTATTATAATCAGCCAGTCTATATTTTTTTATCTTTAAATCACGACGTTATGCAGTCTTCAACATTTTTACTTATTGATAATCAACAAATTAACAACAACCCCTTGTTTAAGAAATAATATCAATTGCACCTTAAAATTACTCAAAATAGGTGAGGTGTTTATTTCAGGTGTAGTTTCTTCTTTTGAATATTATTAATGGTTTTTCAATACTATTAAATATAAAATTAGTTATTTGAGTTGTTACCTAATATCACCATAGGTAATTAATAGTTATGATACAAGGTACAAAACCATAAAAGTTGAACTCAAAACAAGGCTTCAAAAAACCACCAAAATTGATAAGGGGACTCTATAACAACTTACCATCTCAAATTCGAGATTTATCTCGGAAAAAATTCAAATCCAAATTGAAATGTATCTTATCTAGTAACCGTATTTACAACTTCCAAGATTTTACTCAGTTGATCGCTGAGAATCAGCATTTGTTCATGGATAATCACAGTGATTGATTATAATATCTCATTTTATTGTTATGGTATATATTCATTCATTTATCTATAAAAATTCATTTGACATTCTATAAGTTTCACATTATATATTTGAGTTACATTTTATACATCATACTTCATATATTTTATACATTTACGTTTTATATATATTTCATACATTTTATATATCCAAATTTAGTCATCCCTTAAAATGTATTTTATCATGTATGTAGATCAAATATGTTTTTATTCTTCAATATCCCATATCACAATTATTGTCAACCTCGATTATAATCCCAGGACTACAAATTATTCTATCATCTATCTTTAGTTATTAGGCACGTGGACGCGGCAAAATGTCTTCGTCGCTTGTATGAAATTCAACGCGCCGAGAACATGACCGATCACACCGCGAGAACTCCCGAATGCAGTTTCAGTTTCGGTCGTAGTTTCGGCAGGTTTGCCGCCGAAACCGAAACCCGCTTTTTTGCCGAAACTCGACCGAAACCGGACTTTCGGTCGGACACTAGTTTCAAGCTTCAAAGGGTGAATGAACGTCTTGAAGTGAGCCAATTCCGGAAAATTTTGCAAAAAGTCCCCAAAATCTTTTTGCCATCCAGGAGTTCAATATTTGTTTGGCAAAGCCTAAAGTGATGCCAATGACAGGTTCTGGTCCGATGAAGCTGCTTGTAACACCCTCCTTTGCAAGGCAGTCAGCAGCCTCATTGCCTTCCAGGCCAGTATGGCCAAAAATCTAGACCAGAGACAATTTGTTAAGTCTTCCTGTTGAGGAGCGTCATTTTTGGCAATTTGCTACCAATTTAGACGTTGCTCGGTAGGAGCCAAGAGCTTCCAACGTCGATCGACTTGTCTACCAATCTCTCCCTAGGCAGTTCGATATCTCTGTCCCGAGTCTGCGACGGAAAACACCTATACCAGAACCCGAAGGTGTTTTTGATCCATCTGTGAACAACAACTATCTGCTCTTAATATTTCTTTCTCTCGGAGGATCCAGTCCTCTCTACTCGGAAATAGTACTTTATAAGGCAGTTCTTAGTTGACAGTTGGAGGCACAAAGTCAGAGGTGTCATTACCAGAATGATGTGACTTCCAGTGTCAACCAGCAGTCTATTGCACTCGGCATTAGATTGATTTGTACTAATGGCGATGTGCACAAGTCTATATGCAGTCCATCTAGCCTCTTGCTCCAGAAAAATGTGGAGAGGAGGTAGATGGCACCAGGAGGTACTGATGACACCACAGATAGCCAGACAAGCCTGTCTCTGTAAGTCAGAGAGCTGCACCTAAGCCGTTTTCTGTAAAGACTCAAGCCACCAGGCAATTGCTGCATAAGTGATCATTGGTCTGACAATAATAATACATATTTTTTTCAAGAAACAATCATCACATAAATCCAATGGATTTGTTCGGAGCCTTATTAAACCCAAGTTTTACCACAAATCCTTAGACATGTTCATAGGGACAGCCTGGCTTCATGTACAGGTGAGTTTTTTATCAAGGGCAATGCCAATACATTTCTCTTCCGTTCCAAACGGAATGACCTCACCATTGAGGGAAAGTGGCGTTAAATCGTTCAATTTTATCTTCCTGGTGAAGAGGATTGTCACAGTTTTTCTGGGGTTGATTGACATGCTCCTGGCACCACCTCTCAACAACGTCCATCGTACTTTGCAAGATATCACAAGCTACTCTTTCAGATGTAGGCATTGCCAAAATGACAAGGTCATCTGCATAAGCTTGTAGATCTACTTTTCTTCTGTCTGACTACCTATCAGTAGCCAACACAGAAGGGGAGATAGTACCCCACTATGGCTTAGATCGAGCCAGTTATCGTCGATTCTATTCCTTTTTCACCCAGAGATGATCCTATAAATTCAAATGCTCCTTCAATATCGAGAAATACAGCAACTGCAATTTCCTTGTTGTCAAGAGATTGGGAAATTTTCTCTACAAGGTTGTTCAATGCTAAATCTGTCGATTTGCCGGTCTGATATGCATACTGGTGGTTATTCAGGGGGGATGCATATAAAGCCACCTTCCTGATGTGTCCGTCCAGTATCCTCTCAAGTCCTTTCAACAGGAAGGATGTAGGGTGTGGCTCTTTCCGACCTACTTTAGGTATATATACTACCCTTGCTGACAAATAACTGGGTGGTATATAATTCCACGCTGTATACAATTTTATGAGAATGGGTAAAGTGATTTCCAGTTCATTTTGAAGAAGAGCTGGAAATATACCGTCTTCTCCAGGAGATTTGAAGGGCTGAAACGATTTGATAGCTCAATCAACGGCCGATTCTGTGATAATCTTCTTGACGACCTTATAATCGTTCCTACCAAAATCTCTAAGGCTAAAGCAAATAATAACAAAATAGTGAATAAAAATAAATTATGTATGAAAATAGCAAAGGATAAATTGAGATGGCAAATCAAGAGTAAGGCTATCAAGGTTATTTTTCAAAAATTCATTGTTTTTAGGATAATAAAATGCAAATAAATGAAAAATTGTCGATTTTATTAAAAAAACACGATTTTCTAGTTGCATCTAGGTACATTCCAAAATAAAGATAAAGATATCCAGTTGACAAAGCAGTGGACAAAAAAAGTGAATTTAATCAATATTGGGGTAATTTAAGTTCTTCTGTTTCATGAACAAGACAAGAACATTAGAAATTCAAATAGACAGACGTTAACAAAAAAATTACAGTTTTGGATCGATAAAAAAATATGGAACTTTGAAAGGCCATAGATCTAATAATTTTCCACAGTTCAAATTTTACCGATCCTGAATTGAATATTTGAAGAGGAAAAATCTAAATGTTATGCTACATTATAGTAATATTATGCTGAATATCTCGTTGAATTGGCTATCAATTGAGTGCAAAAATATTTATGTGAAAGTTCTAGTGTTGTGATGGGTATAAAGAAAGAAATGATTGATCCGTTAAATCACCCCACATTTATATTGCTGTCCCATAATGAACCCAATCTAGAAGAGTTTTGAAGAACTGAAAAGAAACACCTGAGAAGAGTTTTAATTTGAAAAACACATATACAAAATATTTGTATAGAAATACTATGGGACATTGAGAATGTCCCATGCACAAATATTAATCATGATATAAAGCAAAGACAACCTGCCTTATCTGGCTGTTTGACAGTGATAAACTCAAAAATACAGAACGAATATTCACCAATGGATGTAGTGATTGAATAGAAAGGTTTACATAAATCATGTATTATTTTATTTGAATTGCTTGGAATATGGCGATGATTTTTGGGAAAGAAAGTTTTTGGCTTTCTACTACTCCATCTTGATACAAAAAACAAGGATGAGGGAATCTTCCAAGGAAAGGAAGGAAGTAATCAATTTTAAAATAAGTAACTCTATACATGGATGTGTAGATCATGCAAAGAAGTAACTTTCAGACAAAACTGAAAGAAAGTCCTCCTGAAACAGCTACATGTAAGTTCAATTTATTATCATTCATTTAAAGTAGAACTCATGTGAATGATATCTGATTTTTATTCCACAACGAATGTTTGAAATACAAACTGAGTAGAGAAAAGTATCTTCTGTATAATTCAGTGTTCATATGGAAGTATTTGTTTCGAAAGAATTTTTTCTTTCGTGTAATTCAATGTTTATATGAAAGTAGCTATTTCAGGAGGACTTTCTTTCAGTTTGTGTCTGAAAGTTACTTCTTTGCATGATCTACGCATCCATGTATAGAGTTACTTATTTTAAAATTGATTACTTCCTTCCTTTCCTTGGAAGATTCCCTCATCCTTGTTTTTTGTATCAAGATGGAGTAGTAGAAAGCCAAAAACTTTCTTTCCCAAAAATTAATCACTCCTAAAAATATAACCCCTTCAATTCATGACGATGATATCCTGATATCCATACAAAGCCGGGAAGGAGATGCCAAATAACTGTTATGTTATCGAAGCGAAAGAAAGCAAATTTGTTATTTATCCTTCATATGATAAACCAGTTTAGACATTGTTTACTTTATTTAT